GAAAGAGTGAAGACAGATATCTCCTTTGATTCGCGAATCCTGCATCCTTTGCTCTGTTCGTCTTCATCGCTTCAGATCAGGTATGCTGATTCTCTGTCTCGATCCACTTCCCCGTTATACAGCTGTTCAATCGGATCAATTTTTGAGAAGCTTCCCGGTTCCTTCGGTGGTTTCCAGTTTTTCCTCAGCTAGTCTTGTTCTCATTAGAGCCTCAATTAGGTCTGACGTGTGTTTGTTTTTGCTTTGCTTCGGTTACAATGCTCTGGAGATTCCGGTGGTTAGTGGGAAGTTTGAAATTATCGGAGAATCTTATGGAGAAGATTAGGGTTTCTGGGTTTTAAAGGGTTTCGAAGTCGATGGGTTTAGATGAACCAAATTATGAACATTAGAGTGTGAGTCCTGTTGTTCCGTGAATGAGAAAGGAATCTCCTTTGAGGGTTCGTTTGAAGGCTATGAGTATGAGAACAGTGAATGATATTGATCTGTCATTCATGTAAGTGGTAGAAGAAACTGGGTGTGTCGTTTGTGAGTTCGAGAGCTTGGTCTTCTGTCATGATTATCCAGATCAAACCAAGTTCTTGAATTTGCAAGTCTCATGGTGTTTTCTTGTTGGAAGAAGAAGAAAGTAGGAAGAGGAAAAAAGGAAGAAGAAGATGGAGGGAGAGGAGAAGGAATCCATAAGAGAGGCTTCAAAAGAATGGTCTGATGAGTTCAAAACTCTGGTTAAGACAGAAGATCTTGATTCCCTCAGACATTTGCAGCACCTCATGTAAGCATGCGTTTGCAAAGGTTCCATTTTTCCTGGAAAATTCAGTTTTCAGACGGCATAAATCCTGTGGAGAAACATAATATAAAAGTAGATAGAAGCTCTCAAAGTTGCATTTGGAAATGGTTAAAGATTCAATGGAGTCTTGCTGGTGCTGAAAAATCATTTGATGAATTCTTTTTTCAACTTTCAAACGAAAACGTCTTTTTGATTCGGATTCTTTCTCCCTTTGCCAAATTTCCGCAGACTGGGAAGGTTGCAGGACAGCAACGCAGTTCTCTCCCACTACAACGAGTTTGCAGAGAATTGTTTCACGGATGTATCGTTAGAATTCTCGAGAAACACTCGTCTTCTGAAGTCGATGAAGGCGGACCTTGATTACATATTCTTGAAACTAAGGTTTGTTCATAAAACCGCCATCCATTTTCCTTGTTACAAGAATGTTTTCTTGTTCACGGCCTTTTGGGTATTTTCTCAGGAGCATCAAAGCTAAGATTACGGAGACGTATCCGGACGCTTTCCCGGACGAATCCACGAGCGATGCGTTTGATCGAAGGCCAAATCTTGAATTGCCTCTCTAACATTTCTCTACAACACTTTTGAGTCGTGTTTCCTACTTGGCTTTTTCCTCATGTGAAAATACATGTCTTCTAATGCTAGGCTCACAGCATTTGTTTTTTTTCTTCAAAGCAGTGTCCTCAAAGCTACAAATGGAATGGTAAAATAGAGAGGGAATATTTCGTACTTTATATATAAATTATACAGTTTATCATATTTTATTGTATCCAGATTTCAAGGGATTTTTTTTTATCTAGTTTGATTTTGATTAGAATATGGATATATTGAATAACAAACAAAAAATACCTAGAATTACTCCTATTGTTACGAGATATAATATCTTTTTGTTTTGATTTAAAATTTTAGGATACTATCGCGATTAATATTATCTTCAAAAATAAATAACTAATATCTCGATAAATAAAATTAAGATATTATCTCGAACAATGATTTTTTTTTAGAAAATAATTACTAATTATCTTCAATTAATCTGTTGCGATTATCACGATTAATAATTAGTCTACATTATGTAAGAAATACATATAAAAATAGATACATGCTTTTACAGTTAGAATTTGCAAATGGTTAAGATTCAAGCTGATGTTGAGAAATCTTTTGATGAATCTTTTCAACTTTCAAATGGAAATGGCTTTTGATTCTCTTAACGGTTTTTTTTATAAGTAAGAAACGCGAATGTCATTATTAAATTCTTTGCATTGAATCTGTAAAGATATAAAAAGACAAGAATGATATATGTTCAAATAAATTAGTTATATAGACATATGTTGTAACTAAAAGTACTTATGAATCTCATGTTGTAAAGGCAGATATTATTAAATATATAAAATAGTTGTTTTGATTAAAAAAAATTATGATAATCAGATATAGATTAACTCGTAAATTTTATATAAATAGAAATTAACTATATTTTCTAATAATCAATATTCGTAAACATAGACAATCGATCTCCTAAAAACAAAGTGAATAATCGAATTTGGTATCATACCCAAAACTCTTACTTACAAAAAATTTAAATATTAATTTCTGTATAAATATATTACTAGATTTGGTGAAAAAAATAAAAAGTAAGATTTCCTTTTTGAAGAAAATAAGTTAGGATAACTTATTCATCTAAAATTCGAACTGACGAAAAATTAACATTTCAAGGGATTTATTTTTCTATTTTAGTTTACTTTTAAATAGAATATAGATCATGTATTGAACAAAAAACAAAAAAGATACCTAGAAATATTCAAACACTTAATATCTTTTTGTTTTTTGTTTTTAAATTGAGATATTATCTCGATTAATAACTATTATATTAAAAAAAATTATAATATTCCGATAAGATTAAGATATTATCAAGATATGATCTCGATTAATAATTATCTTTAAAAAAAATTAGTTACTAATAAAATAAATTCCAAACAATATAAAAGGAGGAATTAGTAGTAAAGATCAAATCAGTATCACTGAAAAACTCTCCGAAGTGAGTCGAAGGCGAAAACGGACGAAGAGAAGAAGAAGAAACTCACAGCTCGAAGGATGACCGATCAAGCATCTGTTGCTTCTTCTTCTCCCCCGGTAGGTCTTCTTCGCCATTCCCATGTCAATGATTGCTTGCGGAACAAGATTCCTCTGTGTTGCAGGAAAAAAAAAACTTGTTTAGGGTTTAGAATATCATGACAATCTATTTTCAGATCATTATATATATATATATATAGTCTATCTTGATTTAGAACACTGTCGCAAGGTTCCCTAGTGTGCAACTGGTGTCGGATATTGCAGGGTGATGAAAACAATGGAAACTCAACAAACACAGCCACAGAGGCGACTGCAACCGCCGTGGTGGTGGGAAATAAAGAGGGAAAAGATCTGAACGAGTGGTTACCGGTGACGGCGTCAAGGAAAGCAAAGTGGTGGTACTCAGCCTTTCACAATGTCACCGCCATGGTCGGAGCCGGCGTTCTTGGCTTGCCCTACGCCATGTCACAACTTGGCTGGTACACCTTTATAAACTCTTATAATTCTCTCTCTCTCTCTCTCTATATATATATATATATATAATCTCTCTCTTTCTCTGTAATCTCTTTGTGTCTGTGTGTTGGATCTTCATAAGAAGATCTTCGTCTTGATGCCTAAAGATTTTGTAACGCGAGATTATATATGCATGTATACATATATCATCGTACATAATGTATAAGGGGATTGATGTCGTTCATAATCGTATCAATCTTGGAAGTTTGAAACGTTAATATGTTCGATATTAATGAAAACAGGACAGCAGGTTTCACGGATGTATCGTTAGAATTCTCGAGAAACACTCGTCTTCTGAAGTCGATGAAGGCGGACCTTGATTACATATTCTTGAAACTAAGGTTTGTTCATAAAACCGCCATCCATTTTCCTTGTTACAAGAATGTTTTCTTGTTCACGGCCTTTTGGGTATTTTCTCAGGAGCATCAAAGCTAAGATTACGGAGACGTATCCGGACGCTTTCCCGGACGAATCCACGAGCGATGCGTTTGATCGAAGGCCAAATCTTGAATTGCCTCTCTAACATTTCTCTACAACACTTTTGAGTCGTGTTTCCTACTTGGCTTTTTCCTCATGTGAAAATACATGTCTTCTAATGCTAGGCTCACAGCATTTGTTTTTTTTCTTCAAAGCAGTGTCCTCAAAGCTACAAATGGAATGGTAAAATAGAGAGGGAATATTTCGTACTTTATATATAAATTATACGAACTGCACGAGGCGGTGCCCGGAAAACGATTCGATCGGTATCCGGAACTGGGAGAATACGCCTTTGGTAAGAAATGGGGATACTGGACGGTGATGCCACAGCAAATGCTTGTCCAAGTTGGAACAGACATTGTATACAATGTCACAGGAGCCAAATCCTTGAAGAAGTGTTTGGAGATTCTGATACCGAGTTTTCAGATCAGGCAGACTTACTACATCGTCTTCTTCACTGGCATCCAGTTAGTTTTGTCTCAGATTCCTAACTTCAACTCTCTCAAGGGTCTCTCTCTTCTCGCCGCAATCATGTCCTTCAGGTATGACTATCCATTAAATCTATATATATCGATTTTTGAGATATGCTAAAAACAATGTGTTTTCTAACGGTGCAGCTACTCAATGATTGCGTTTGTGACGTCGCTGGTGAAAGGAACGCATCACCATCCGTCAAGCTACGGCGTCAGGTCGCACACTTCGGCCGGGAAAATATTCGACGCGCTTAACGCGATTGGAACGGTCGCATTTGCGTACGCAGGGCACAGTGTGGCGCTTGAGATACAGGCGACCATTCCATCGACCAGTGAAGTCCCTTCCAAGAAACCGATGTGGAAAGGCGTTGTTTGGGCATACGTGATCGTCATGGTATGCTACTTCTCAGTCGCAATCGCGGGTTTTTGGGCGTTTGGCGATTTGGTTGAAGACGACATCCTCATCTCTCTCGAGAGACCTTCTTGGCTGATCGCGGCCGCTAACTTCATGGTCTTTATCCATGTTGTCGGAAGCTATCAGGTGCGTTTTATCTGTGGTGAAGTTACTAGATGTTGAAGAAATTAAGGTTTCCCTTTGGATATACTTGTAACATATAAACACATATACATTTATATATACGGTCGGTCCAAATTACAGGTATTTGCAATGCCAGTGTTTGACGCAATAGAAGCGTGCCTTGTGAAGAATCTAAAATTCACTCCTTCGACATGTCTTCGTTTGGTTGGCCGTAGTGCGTATGTTGGTTAGTAATCTCCCTTTGTTTCGTTATAAATTAAATTACCTCCATGAAATTAATACATACGAATTATTCGTATTTTCACCTCATGAATGCGATTTTTTTACCGTGAAATTATGTTTGTTGCAGCCATTGTTGGGTTCGTAGCTGTTTGCGTTCCGTTTTTTGGAGGGCTGCTAGGGTTTTTCGGAGGCCTCGTCTTCTCCTCGACGTCATACTTCGTAAGTCCACACGTAAAAAACCCTAACGGTCCATGCATGCATGCACGAGCCAATCGATCAATATAATATATATTTTTATACTATAACAATGGAACGCTTTGTATGTCCAAACTATATAAGGAAGATGATATATATGTGTGTGTATATTGGTGGGCAGTTGCCTTGCATCATGTGGTTGATCATCAAGAAACCCAAACAATGGAGCTTCCATTGGACCGCTTCATGGGTGAGTTCTCCTCTTCTTTCTCACCTGCATTATTTTATTGGTGTAAAATTATATATATACATATATATATATATATATATATATAGATCATTTGTAATGAATTTGCTTATAACATGATACAGATCGCGATCATCATTGGGGTATTGATAGCAGTGCTTTCGCCTATTGGAGGAATGAGAGAGATCATCCTTCAAGCCAAAACCTACAAGATGTTCTCTTAATCTCCTTCCACTTGTTCTTGCATTTGCATGCATGACCGGTTAAGGGTGGACATTCCGGTTCAGTTTCCGATTCCGGATTTTATGGATAAAAATGTTTATTAAAAATTAAAGACGGATTTTTTTAGTTATTTTTGTATTCGATTTGGGTCATTTTGTCATTTTTAGAAAAATGATGTACATTCGTTAACGAATGGATTAGATTCGGTCAAAGTATTATTTAGTTCGAATCAATCCGTTTTGTATAACGGAACCAAAATATATAACCAAAAGTAAGATTTATATATGTTTATAAAGATTTCCTTCAATTCATTTTCTTATTTTTCATGTTATATAATTTAATTGTTCGAATCTTATTGGTATATTGCAGGATTACGTAATGTTATTTTTTTAATTATTGCGATTTTTGTACAATTTGTGGTACGATGGAGTGTTATATTCAAATTAATACAAATAAAGTTAGGATGTTTGAAGACAATGATTTAAACCCATGTCTCGTAAACTGAACCGGGGAACCGGTTTAGCATTATTGAACCGGGCTAGATAACCCTTTGTGGGCTTCTTCACTTTTCAGCTATATTATGGGCCTTTTGGGCCTTTGTTATTGTCTTGTGTGACATAAAAACTGTTTTGGTGCTCCAATAGCATATTTTAACAGATTAAATTCCGATTTTAATATTTCGGAAGACTAAATTCCGTGGTATATCTTTTTGTAAAAAAAAAATAATAATTCTTCGGTGCAATGCGAAAATTTATAAATGAATTTAGCATAATTATAAAAATTAACTGTAAAATCACTGGTGAAAAAAAAAAAATAGGAAGATGATAATTGTATGAAACTATTTCAATGGGTGGCATAAAACAAATATCTGTTTTATATGTTTTAAATATTTATCAAACCAAAACCTATTATTTTTCTGGTCGCCTATAGGTTCTTTTATTTGCATCAAAAATAGCCAAATAGTAATAATATATTTGAATTTTAATTACGGATTCACATATTAATTTTTAAATTGTTTTGCAAAATACAAAAAATAAACCTCCGAGGAAACACAGGGAAACATCGGAGGAGGAAAGGAAAAAAATCAAGGCCATCTCCGTTCTCCAGTCCCTTCTCTCTCTCTCTCTCTCCCGATCCCGAGCTCTCCTGGAGAATCCGCCATTTTGACTGTTCCTATGAGCCTCTCCCGAAAATATCTCTGTCGTGATCTCCAATCAGGTTCACTGATATTGTCTCGATCCACTTCCTCCGGTAATCTCCCGTTTCCGAGCCGTTCAAATCGGACTCGGGGATTTTGTTAGGCGTTTACTTAAACCTTGATTAGCTCCTGAGACTTGTGTTATTTGACGGTTTGAGATTTTGCTCGGATCGTTTGTGTTTGCAATGAGCTCAGTTAGATCTGAATTCCGTGTTCATTTGTTTTTGCTTTGGTCCCATTTCTGCTCTGAGAGTAACCAATAAATTTTGTGGAATTTTGTGTCCCATGGTTGAGCTTTAGTTGCTGGAACTTTGGAATCTGTGATTGTGGGAGTTTAGATTTTATAACAGCGTAGTTTCTGCATTTGTTTTAGAATTATGTGAAGGTTTAGGAAATTAGATTTTGATCGTCGGAGAGGGAAACCTGTAGAATGAAGTGGATGTGACTTGTGGTTCTGTGTCTGAAAAAGCAAACTCGTTCGAGTGGCGGATACTTTGTGTTTGTGCAGATCTTCGTTTATTGGGCAATCTAAGATATAAATGTTGGTCATGTTAGTTTCTTCAAACTTCTTCTTTGCTTGTGGACACCTTTTGTCAGGGGTTCGTTAGCTGTTTGTATAATATTATTCATTTTAAGTATGAAGGCTTACATAATTTTGCAGGCTGCATGATTCATGTGTGATTTTGTGCTGGATTCAAGAGCTTGGGATAACTATGGGGCATTTAAATTTTCCCTCGGGAAGAAACTCATTCAAGTATTGTCATTCCAAATCCTCGAAGGGTGCTTTAGCATTCATGATCAATTCTGAAATCGGTGTAGTTTTGGCTGTGATGCGGAGAAATGTGCGTTGGGGTGTCCGCTATATCTCAGATGATGACCAGTTGGAACATTCTCTCATCCATTCGTTGAAAGAATTGCGTAAGCAGATTTTTTCTTGGCAAAACAATTGGCAAAGTGTTGACCCTAGACTGTATATTCAGCCATTTTTGGATGTTATAAAATCTGATGAAACTGGGGCTCCAATTACTGGTGTTGCTTTGTCGTCTGTCCACAAGATCTTAACCCTCGATGTTCTTACCCTTGATACTGTGAATGTGGGAGAGGCTATACATTTGATAGTTGATGCTGTAAAGAGCTGCCGTTTTGAGGTAACTGATCCAGCCTCGGAGGAAGTGGTTCTGATGAAGATACTTCAGGTTCTTCTGGCTTGCGTGAAAAGTAAGGCGTCTTGTCGGTTGAGTAATCTTGACGTTTGCACCATTGTCAACTCTTGTTTGTCTGTTGTTCATCAATCAAGCTCCAAAAGTGAATTGTTGCAGCGTATAGCACGCCACACGATGCATGAACTGGTTAGATGTATCTTCTCGCAACTGCCCTATATCAGCCCATCGGAGAATGCATTTGCTAATGGAAGCAGATTACATGTTGGTGATGCGGTAAATCATCTTATTCTTTCCTATTAACATTATAGTAATATTATTATGATTTCTTTATCCACTATGGATAGAGTGTTTGAACTCTTCCCGATGAAAGAGGTTCTATGAGCTTGTCTACACCAATGTGGTGGAAGTTCATGACCAAAATGGCAAAAAAAAGTAGCTAACCATGCTGCACAGTTTCTGACTCAACCCTTTTTTTGCTAAACCAGCGGTGTCATTTCATAATTTTGCTGCTAGCGTGTTGCTTGAAAAAGAATCGGTTTTCTTAAAGTTTTTCACTTGACCCAAACATTTAGGTTTTAAGCCTGATTGCATTGACCATTTTTCCAAACTAGTGGATACAACCTTGGTTTACTTTTTGTCCGCAAATTTCTGAAACTCTTTGTGTGTGTGTGTGTGTGTTTAGGTGGGAACTCCGGACTGGGATCAGACTTCTCGAGATAAACAGGTTGACAATGGAAATATTGGTAGTGAATCTGATGCTCTGAGCACAACTGAAAATTCTTCAAGTCCTGTAATGGAGAATCCGGAAACAGAAATGAAAAAAGATGAAAGGAGCACTGAGGTCAATGATCCCGTAGCTGGAAACGGTGAAAATACAATGATGGAGCCATTTGGTATTCCGTGCATGGTAGAGATATTTCATTTCCTGTGTTCTCTGTTAAACATCAGAGAGAACAGTGAAATCAGCTCCAGATCTAATCCTATTGCATTTGATGAAGACGTCCCTCTTTTTGCTCTGGGTTTAATAAATTCTGCTATAGAACTGGGAGGGCCTTCATTCCATGAACACCCGAAGTTGTTGAGACTGATCCAGGATGAGCTATTCAGCAACCTGATGCAGTTTGGTTTATCGATGAGTCCTCTGATTCTTTCTACTGTTTGCAGCATCGTTTTTAATCTCTATCTGAATCTGCGCACTGTGCTTAAGGTACAGATTGAAGCTTTCTTTTCATGCGTTCTTCTGAGGATTGCACAGAACAAACACGGGTCTTCATACCAACAACAGGAGGTTGCCATGGAAGCCCTGGTTGATCTTTGCAGACAGCATGCGTTTATGGCTGAAGTGTACGCAAATTTTGATTGTGATATAACTTGCGCTAACGTGTTTGAAGACATCACAAACTTGTTATCCAAGAGTGCCTTCCCGGTAAATGGGCCTTTATCTGCGATGCATATACTTGCATTGGATGGTTTAGTTTCCATGGCTCAGGGAATGGGTGAGAGGGTAGGCGAGGAATCGTCTGCTGCAGACACTTCTACGGATCAAGAGGCATATGAAGCGTTTTGGACAGTAAGATGCGAGAACTATGAAGATCCCAACTTTTGGGTTCCTTTTGTCCGTAAGACCAAACACATAAAGAAAAGGTTGATGGTTGGAGCTGATCATTTTAACCGTGATCCCAAAAAGGGCTTACTATTTCTCCAAGGGATGCACTTGTTACCTGAGAATCAAGACCCAGAGAGTGTGGCAGCTTTCTTCAGGTATACATGTGGGTTGGATAAGAACCTCATAGGAGATTTCCTGGGCAATCATGACCCGTTCTGTGTTCAGGTGCTTCATGAATTTGCGAAAACGTTTGACTTCCGAAACATGAATCTGGACATGGCCCTGCGTCTTTTCTTGGGTACCTTCAGGTTGCCTGGTGAGTCACAAAAAATACAGAGGGTGCTAGAGGCTTTCTCGGAAAGATACTATGAGCAATCACCACAAATATTGATAAATAAAGATGCTGCTCTCCTGTTATCGTATTCACTTATCATGCTGAACACAGATCAACACAACGTGCAGGTCAAGAAAAAGATGACTGAAGCGGATTTTATCCGTAACAATCGGTGCATCAATGGGGGTGAAGACCTTCCAAAAGAATACTTGTCCGAGCTTTATCATTCCATCTGTGAGAATGAAATTCAGATGGTTCCAGATCAGGAAACTGGCTTCCCGGCGATAACAGCCAGCCGGTGGATTAGTGTGATTCACAAATCAAAGGAAACCAGTCCTTATATTGTCTGTGATACCTCAGCCCATCTGGACCACGACATGTTCTCAATCGTGTCCGGTCCCACTATCGCTGCTACATCGGTGGTTTTTGATCAAGCTGAGCAAGAGGATGTTTTACAGAGATGTGTTGATGGGTTCCTGGCCATTGCTAAACTTTCAGCATGTTATCATTTAGATAGTGTTCTGGATGATCTGGTCGCGTCTCTCTGCAAATTCACGCCCCTTTTGGCGCCATTATCAGATGATGAAACTGTCCTTGCTCTAGCAGAGGATGTCAAAGCACGAATGGCAACTGCAGCAGTTTTCACGATTGCAAATAAATACGGTGACTATATCCGTTCTGGCTGGAAAAATGTACTGGAATGTGTCTTGAGCTTACAGAAACTCCAGCTTTTATCAGCTCATATGGCCAGTGATGCGACAGAGGATATGGAGCCGTCATTTAGTAACCCGGAGCTGGAAAGACCTTCAACAAATCTCTTGCAGGCTACTCAGGTTCAATCCTCTTCTACACCTCGGAAATCATCTAGTCTAATCGGCCGGTTTAGCCAGCTTCTGTATTTCGATACTGAGGAGACAAAGCCTCAGCCAACCGAGGAAGAACTTGCGGTTCATAAGCATGCTCGTGAGGTAGTGAAGGATTGCCGAGTCGATAGCATATTCTCAGAGAGCAAATTCCTCCAAGCCGAGTCTTTGCAACAGCTTGTGAACTCCCTCATAACCTCGGCTGAGAAAGATGAAGACAGTGCAGTTTTCTGCTTAGAGTTGCTTATTACAATCACGCTGAATAACAGAGACAGGATTCTGCTGATCTGGCAAACTGTTTATGAGTACATCGCTAATATCGTTCAGTCGACTTCAACACCGTGCAAGCTCGTCGAAAAGGCAGTCTTTGGTCTCTTGAAGATATGCCAGAGATTATTGCCTTACAAGGAGAATCTGACAGATGAACTTCTGAAATCTCTTCAACTTGTCCTGAAGCTCGATGCCCGAGTGGCTGATGCATATTGTGAACCCATTACACAAGAAGTTGCTCGTCTCGTGAAAGGTAACGCAGCCCACATCAGATCACATTCCGGGTGGCGCACAATCATATCTCTGTTATCCATCACAGCCCGGCATCCAGAAGCTTCCGAGTCTGGATTCGAAGCCCTCATGTTCATAATGTCAGAAGGCGCTCACCTCTTGCCATCAAACTATATTCTCTGTCTGGACGCAGCAAGACAGTTTGCTGAGTCCCGAGTTGGCGAAATCTCTCGGTCTATCTCAGCCATCGACTTAATGGCGAACTCCGTGTTTTGTCTGGGGAGATGGTATAGAGAGGCTAAGAACTCCGTCGGAGAAGATGCAGCCAAGAAGCTAAGCCAAGATATGGGAGAGATGTGGATAAGACTTGTGAACAGCCTCAAAAGGGTATGTCTCGACCAACGGGATGAAATCAGAAACCACACGATCTCGATGTTGCAGAGATCGGTAGCCGGGGCAGACGGGTTTCCATTACCAACAAATCTCTGGTTCCAATGCTTTGACTCGGTAATCTTCCCTTTACTCGACGAAATCCTAGAACTCTCGAAAGAGAACGCCAGGAAGAAGAACTTCAAGAAAGCATCGGAGGAAACGCTCGTCCTGGCCACAAAACTAATGTCAAAAGCCTTCCTACAATCTCTTCAGGATCTATCGAAGCAACCGTCCTTCTGCAGGCTATGGCTCGGGGTCCTAAACCATCTGGAAACGTACATGTCGGCGAAATTCAGAGGGAAACAGAGCGAGAAGGTACATGAACTGATTCCCGAGCTTCTGAAGAACACACTGCTGGTAATGAAGACGACGGGAATTCTCTTACCAGGTGAAGACATTGGCAGTGACAGCTTCTGGCAACTGACATGGCTTCATGTCAATAAGATCTGTCCTTCACTTCTGCCTGAAGTTTTCCCTCAAGACGAGCTCGAGCTTTCGCAGAGACAAAACGCTATGACCGGAGAATTCTCGTTGCCGGAAAAAGGGGCGGTTGCCTGAACAAGAAGATGACAGTTAAACTCATAGAAGAATTGGTCTGAATTTTGTCTTCTTCATTGTTTTATACAGAGGAGGAGAAGAAGAAGAGCAGACAAGAACCTTTGCGAACTATATATATGGAATTTTTTGCAGTATAGCTTTTTTTTTAAAAAAATTTAACCACAAATTCTATTAAATTCAGCAAAGGGTTTCAAATGTTATCTAATTGTGTTATTATTGTTTGTGTAAGATCAAATTAGATGCTTCTTTAACGTTTTTGGCTAAGCATTCCACTTCTATTGTGGTAATAACAGCGTTAGATATGATAGGTTCTGATAATGATTTTTTTTTAATATATTAGTCTGATATTTAATTTATAAACTAGAAATTATTATTTTTAATTTAATATATGTATAGCCCAATATTTATTAAACTAATGGTCTCTGGATTTCATTTGATGTAGAAATTTGTTAGAGGGTAAATTATTGGTACAAAAATTTCTTTCAATCAACTATCATAAATAAATACTGTGTATTTGTAGGATCTTTCGGTAATAATTTTACGTATTGGGACTTTTCATTCCCTTAGTTGTTGGAATTTTTTTCACAATTAAATATTTCAGAAATTTAAAAAAAAAAAGAGGGGATAAAGTGTCAACAGTTAATACACCAAAACAACCGTGCGTTTAATTTCTTAACCATTAATCATTGCCGATCAATTTCATCATTTCGTCACCGTCCTGTTCCAGATTTTCCATACCGGCTCTCCGGCGATCCATTCTTCCGGCGATCTTCTTCGTTTCTCCGATCATCTCAGGTACCGTTGATCTTCGTCTTCTTAGCTTGCTTTCGGTTTTCTCTTGTTCGCTTCCAGTTTTTGATATCTTTGTCTCAATCTCCCTTTTCCGATTCCGGCTCTGGTGAATTCTTTCGTTCCTACGATAAACCTCAAGCCCCCATCAACTTTTCGTCTTTTCCCATCGCGATCGCTTGATTTTGCTCTCTTTTTTTTGTGGCTCCTTTTTGTCCTACATCTGTTATTGTTCATAGATTTCCCTGTATTTCGTTCTACGTTAGAATCAACGATCTGCAGGGGTTTGGATTGGTTTTAGACATTAACATGGAATCCAAAATTTTTTCTTTTTGGGAATCCGAAGAGAATTTTGGGTTGGTCGTCTTGTCGATTAATTCTAGCTGTTGATAAGAGTTTGTATTCGGAATAACATGGAATGGCGATGTGGTTTTCCACCAAGTTTCTTTGCAGATGCTCATTCGGAAGAATCAGCTTTTCTATGTTCTTGCATTGTGTACTTGATTTCTACCGTATGCTTAAAGATTTCATTACTTATGTCTTAACTGTCTCCGCAGAATTTGGACTAGCGTTTTCTGGGAGCGATGAGTGAGGTGTTCGAAGGATACGAGCGGCAATACTGTGAGCTCTCAGCAAATCTTTCCAAGAAATGTACCTCTGCAGTTGCTCTTGATGGAGGTAAATTGACTTCTTGAATCTTTCCAGGATTATGAATCCTTTCTCCAGTATTCGCCATAAGTTTAGCTTAGACCCATGAGCACGATTAAAAAAAAAGTTAGATGCTTTCTGGTTGTGTATTGTGCAGTGGTGCGTGTTATGACCCATGAGTACTGGAATTTCTCTGTTTGCTTCATTTGCAAGGACATAATTTTTTGCTTGCTTTTTTCTACCTTAGGTTTCCGATCATTGAGAAATCGGGGTATTGATAGGAATAAATTGTATCCATCAGTGTCTATTGGTTCCATGATTTCTCTACTTGTTGTGGGATTAGGTTCTGATATTTGCATACCTTAGCAAACATTGATGAGGACTTGCTGATTTGCAGAACAAAAGAAGCAGAAGCTATCTGAAATAAAATCAGGCCTGGACGATGCAGAAGGATTGGTATGTGATAGGCATAGCTCAAATTGAAACTTTCCTGTCTTGCCATTTGCCTTTGACCGAGGCTGTACCGTTTTTTTTTTTCAGATCAGGAAAATGGACCTCGAGGCAAGAAGCCTGCCACCCAATGTTAAGTCAAACCTTCTTGTCAAGTTGAGGGAATACAAATCTGATCTGAACAATCTCAAAAGTGAAGTGAAGAGAATTACAACAGGAAACTTGAATGCAGCTGCTCGCGATGAGTTGTTGGAAGCTGGAATGGCTGACACGATGACGGTATGTAAGAACATGATGATGCCATTCTCAGTTTTGTCCTCTCCATTTCCAAATGTGCTAGTAAAAGAGCTCCTAACATCTATTATGATTGATATGCTTGGGCTAGGCTTCGGCTGATCAAAGATCAAGATTGATGATGTCAACAGAGCGATTGGGTCGGACCACAGACAGAGTCAAGGATAGCCGAAGAACCATGCTGGAAACTGAAGAGCTTGGTGTTTCAATCCTCCAAGACTTGCACTCCCAGAGACAGTCTCTCTTACACGCTCACAATACGGTATTTCTCTGCGCAAGACTTTTTTTAATGCCTTTCATAATCCCCTTGCAAGTGACTCACAAAACCATTCATTTTAGCTCTTAATTAGGAAAACATAAACTAGATCTTGAAATATTATCCAGCCTAGTGATTGATGATGAAGGTTGGCAGATCTCTGGCCAGTTTGGTTATGATAGTTAATCAACCATGAAATGATTTATAAGAAAAACACAAGAGAATAGGGAAAAGCAATAGGTTATGAACAGTAGATTCACATATGTTAGTCTATGATGAGTTGAAACTGATCGGCGTTGTCATGAAACTAGCACAGGCCAAGGTCCACCTCCATTAGTAACGGCTCGCTATCATATCTTGAATCTTGACAAAGGAAATGGGCATGTTAACCTGCTCAGACTCGTCATCACATCTTGAATCTTGATATAGGAAACAGTCAATTGTTTTCCTAGTTTAAGGCTGAGATATTGAAGATTTTCTTTTGAAAACTCCAACTGCATCTACATTGATTGCTTTAACCTGTATTATAAACGGATCACAACAGCTTCATGGGGTGGACGACAACATCGGGAAGAGCAAGAAAATATTGACAGCCATGTCGAGGAGGATGAACAGAAACAAGTGGACCATCGGAGCTATCATCGTCGCACTTGTTCTCTCCATCATCCTCATCTTGTACTTCAAACTCGCCAAGTAAGTCCCTGAGAACCTCTTCTCGTGAAAAACTCTCTATGTAACTGAAGAACCCTTGTTCCATTTATCCTTTTATATCTTTATCTGGGTGTTGAAGTGTTTTGTCTTGTCTGAACTGAATTTGGCAATCTTCTCTACTCTATCGACTCTTGCTAAGCAAAGCAGCAAGTGTGATTGCATTGTTTATAGACTTTTGCCCCTCTCTATTATAAGTTCCAAATTCAGAAAATACTTCCAATCCAAAGAAAAAAAAACTCACTATGCATGTTTTTTCTTGATACCGTTTTTTCACAAATCTCGAGTTTACTTGTGTAATGTTCTCTCGTTCTTGAACCTGCTGTAATCGGCGAGCAAGCTCCCGTTAACCTTGTCCTTCATGTTCTCCACCAAACTCGTCAAAACCTGTGAAAACCCAAAGTCAGTAAAAGACAGAGATGAATACAGACCCGAAACATGGTAATGTTCGGGTTTTAGTACGAACTTGGTAGTAAGGGGTATTATATATATTTATTACCGCGGTGGCGACGTTCTTCCTGACATCTTCAGGTACTAGCTCGAGAACAGGAGGAAGAACGAAGCTAATGTTCATCTCTAACCGACCTTTGAGACGAGCATTCCTTCCCCGTCGTCGATCTGGATACAATGCTCCTCTCACTCCCAGTGAGAAATCGGTAGGTTCCATTACTTTGTCAAGTCCTTGCAGCTCCCATCTCGTCTGAAAAAGGAAAAAAGAAGAGATTTTGACATGTGGTCTGAACTCAGAGCCCCGAGGAAAACACGAACATGATTATACCATGTCGAGCTCGAGAACTTTGGTGATGTCTGGAGGGACGTCGATGGGGTAATCGTGGCCGTTGGATCTGCATCTTAAGCGCATATCCACCACTGGCCAAACCGTTACGAAGAGGAAGTTTATTGGTAACATCTGAATTCTCCATTCTTCCTTCTCCACCCAAAAAAAAACAGAGTCGGATCATAAAGAAAGTGTTCTTCTTTACGATTCGTATCAACCAGAGAGAGAGAGAGAGAGGAAATACGTGACTAAGCCTTCGGCTTCGCCGTTTATCAGGAAACATGGCTGCGAACACCCGAGATTTATCCTCCAAATAATCATCGAACAATGCCTGAAAACAACTTCCACCCACATATATACACACAGCTGCAGATGTATACTACACTGACACAAACATAGTGTACCTGGGGAGACTCGTACAGAGGGAGGTCAGTGGAGATTCTCGAGGAATACGTGGCTGGCTTCGCTGACGCCACGTGGCATTTCGCCGACGGCCGTGGCCTGACCTCCGTCACCGGCCATCGTCGGCATCCCCATTCCCCTGTTTTCTTCTCTCTCCTCCATATCCCAAACGATGAAAGCCTCGAACTTGCCGCCATTTCTTCCTCTCTCTCTCTGTGATCTTCAATTTCTCTCACATCTCCCTCTCTCCTCTCTCTGTGTAGATCAGCCGAGAAACACAAGCCTCGCAAAGATGGCGTCTTTTCATCTTTTCGCATGGAGAGAGAGTAAAGGTAGGGGAGGGAAGCTGAAAGATAAGGCGATATCTGACTTTTGTCCCCTGTCCACGTGGCCACTCCAGAGGTCATCCACGTCATCACCCAACTGAAAACTGTGGGACCCATTTTGCTCACCCTTCAACCTTCTCATTCGTGGCAGAGTGTGTGACTCTATAGGACCAGTGAGTCGTTACCCATACTAAACCGTAACGGTTAAGTTAACCAAGATCTCTTCTTGTTCGATTTAGGTACTCCTTCCATTTCCTTGATTCATCGTTACCGCGCGATGAAGAGAACAACAATAAATCATACAACTTTTCACTTCCAGTTTCAGCAAATCAGACAAAGATTGAAGGAAACGTTCTTCCGCGTATACAAACAACCGCATGAACAACTTATTCTCCGGTCAGCGTTCTGTCCGGATACAGTTTCGGTTTCCACTGTTTTAGGCAGCGTACGGTATTCTGACTCCCATTCTCAGGCAAAGCCAAGGTCGGCTTTGATCAGGATCTACGAAACTGTGATCAAGAAAATCCTCTGCTTCTTCGTCCATCAGTTCTCTCGCCCACGTTACCCGTCTCGATGAACAGCTACCTGGACCAAAGCACCTGCCGTTTTGTTATAAAAAAAAAAATCGTTACTTTATCTCGAAAAGAGCAGTCTCCTCATAATCCTGGTCAAAAGGATTCAGATTTCATATGAAAAATACCCATCTCCACCCGTGTTTAGGCATGTGGTACATATATTCACGTCTAAAAACCTATTGCTCTTCAGAGACTCGAGATTGTGCACCTGTACTCGTAGAAGCAAGCACTTCTCTCGTTCTCGGGGTTTCCCCAGTTATGCCAACCAACGGGTCTGATACAAGCGTCCATATAAGTATGTGCAAAGACCACTCTCCCAAAGGGTCCCCATGGCCTTCCTAGATACATATACGAACCCTGTCCATTTCCAGTAATCACGCATCTGCAATATCACAAATGCCCCTTTAGAAAGTAACAGCTAAAACCCGAAAACCCAAAGTTTAAGATGAGGGGGTGAATGACATATGATGGTCATAAGATAAATACGGACCTTAAGAACACGTAACCAGTACATTCTTGAGATGATTTGCGGCTTTGTGCAGTTATAAACCCTTGAGACTTGCAGTGGATATGGCAGTGTTCCAAAAGAGCTGTGCTGTTGCCAAATATGAAATCTACACTTCCCTCAATGTAGCAGTCTTTCAAGTACTGTTTTCCATAATGTAAGTACAATGTATCCTGCATCATGGGCAAAGGCTTCATATAAGCTAAAACTGATTGTGCAAACTTGCTTTCAATATTCTAGATCAACTCTCATGATTTATGATCCAAAGTGCATACTCCAATGAAATGGTGAGAACATTTAATAAAAGAGAGGCATGAATCTTCAAGAATGCAATATTCACAAACATAAACCCTTAAAAGATAACTGGGTATGATTGCTAAATGGACCTGCCAGCCGAGAAATCGACAGTTGTAAAACGCACAACGATCTGCAGTGACTCTAATAGCTACCGCTTGCCCAGATCCCTGTGTTCAAGAACAATACAATCACAAACACGAAAATTCTTGTCAAGTATCTATCAAATAATCTAATGGCCTAAACTGTACAAGTTACAGAAACTTCTGAAATCAATGAACTTGGAAAAGTTGCGAGTTTATCAGTTGAACCATATAGTCATAATCAAACAGTAATAGCAAAAGAAAGATCGAATTCATGTTGCTCGAAATTTATTAAACAAAAGCTTAACAACGTAACATTCAATCACATTCGCCAAACAGAAAGGTGAAATCTCTGCAAAAGAACATGGAAATGCCATGCCATCTAAACGACGAACTGAGTAAAAGGTACCATTTTTTAAAAAATAAAGGAGCAAACTTTATTACCTCGGGAGCAGAATTCTCAAACGTAATGTTCTCTGCAACAAAATCTTCCCCTTCAACAATCACAGTTCCACATCCAAACGTCCCCGTGCCGATAACCCTAGACGCCTGCAATCAAAGAACGCAACCAATCAGGACAACCCGCGTGGTAAAAACCCAGAAGCGAAGATTTCAGATTTCGATACCTGGTGATGCTCAATCTTCGAAGAGGTGTTGTTCCAAGCGATCACTGTGGACTCCGGGGAAATTCCGGCGAAGGTGATGAGATTCTTCCTCTTGGGCACGTACACAGGCTGCCGATAAACCCCTGGCGACAGACGGATCACCGTCCGACACGTGTTCCCCAGAGGCACCGAGTCGACGGCGTCTTGAACGGTGCAGTAGTCGCCGGACCCATCCTGCGCCACCGTCACCACCCGGCTCGTCGCCATTAATCCGCCGAGACGTCGCTCCCTTTTTTCCTTCTGTGCGTAACTACAAAAACCCTAACAAAGAGAGAGAGAGAGAGATTTCCGAGAACTATTGAAGAAAAAGAAGAGATTTTGATGATGCGTTGCGTCGATATACAGCAGAATCTTGGTGGGTTTTATAATTTTCTCGGACGACCGAAGAATTGCAATGTCGGCATCGTCTTGTTTGCTAACGATATATCCGCCTTTTTTTTTTTGGCTATTCATCTTCATCTGAGGTTGTCACTTTTTGTATTTGTAAATATGCCCTTAATTATCATATATTTATACTTTTATCGCTCAGATCTTTAATTCTTCAGATTCAACCTTTGTTCCAAAAGATGTATTAGAGTCATGGAAGAGGACTAATTATCAACTTAAAATAAAATAAAAATATTTTTTTCCTGATTTTCCTTTTTACTAATTTCTAGTGATACTTTTTTTTTTCAATTTCTAGTGATACTTTTAAAATTATATCTGAAATGTGTAGATTATTTCCCTAATACTTTGATTGCATTTTTGCAAACAGAATTTACTTCTGAATATGATACCAAATTATACTCATAAATTCTCAAAAAAAAATATAAAAACGTTTAGAAAAGTATCGGTCAAAACCCAATGGGCCTTCGTTCTAGAAAATTGGGCCCTTAGAAGACGCCTACATAATTTATCTATTTTGTCACGGCCCATACGTGTTTCACGCGCCATACCTGCGCGTGTGGACCCCATCACCAAACCAGTCTCGCGTGTTTCATCTTCCTCTTCACCCTCCTATAAAAAAAAATGCGTTCCGTACCGTTTCAAGATCTCACAGAAACGAGGAAAAAAACGAGATTGAAAAAAAAAAAGCTTAGAAACGATGCCGTACTACACTAGGGACGAGGACGAAGTCGATGACTTCGACGAGTACGATCCGACGCCGTACGATGGAGGCTACAAGCAGCACGAGATCTACGGCCGTCCGATCCCACCTTCCGACGAGACATGTTACGCGCTCTCGTCGCCTTTGGATGACTCCTTCGAGTACGAGCGACCGGAGTTCACGTCGTACCATGAGCCCTCTGCTTATGCAGACGATGCTCTCCAGACCGAGTACAGCAGCTACTCGCGACCCAAACCCCGACCTGGGTTCCAACCAGGAGGCGGTTTAGTTGAAGGTGAGTATGGTGGAAGGCCCCAACCGGCTTATGAGTCGGAGTACGGATCCGGTGGGTATGGTGGGGAAACGGAGACAGAGTACGGTCGGCGACCTGAATCGGAGTACGGATCCGGTGGGTATGGTGGAAGAACTGAGATCGAGTATGGCCGACGACCTGAGTCGGAGTACGGGTCCGGTGAGTATGGTGGAAGAACTGAGACCGAGTATGGCCGACGACCTGAGTCGGAGTACGGATCTGAAGGGTATGGTGGGAGAACTGATACCGAGTATGGTCGGCGACCTGAGTCGGAGTACGGATCCGAAGGGTATGGTGGGAGAACTGATACCGAGTATGGTCGGCGACCTGAGTCGGAGTACGGATCCGGTGGGTATGGTGGGAGAACTGAGACCGAGTACGGTCGGCGACCTGAGTCGGAGTACGGATCTGGGTATGGCGGGGGAACTGAGATCGAGTACGGCCGACGGCCTGACTCGGAGTACGGATCCGGTGGGTATGGTGGGAGAACTGAGACCGAGTACGGTCGGCGACCTGACTCCGAGTACGGATCTGGGCATGGCGGGAGAACTGAGATCGAGTACGGCCGACGACCTGAGTCGGAGTACGGATCTGGGTATGGTGGAAGAACCGAGACCGAGTATGGATCCGGGTATGGCAGGAATCAGAGCTACGGAGAGGGTGAGGGAGAGGGAGGGGGAGAGAGGACGGAGTACGGAGGTAGGCTGAGATATGGAAGGTCTGAGGAACAAGAGGAAGGTTACAGGAAGCCCAGCTATGGTCGTCGCAATGACGACGAAGAAGATGATGATGGCGGTGAGCAACGCAGGCACCGTTACGGTGATGATGAGGAAGGGAGCTATGGCCGCAAGAAATATGTAAGTTCGCAGTTTTACTGACGTTTCTGCAGTTTTACGCTCTGGATCGCATTGAAGGAACGCTTTGAATGATGGTAATGTAGAATGGCTTTGATACGTTTTGGGCGAGCTCCTATAAGTGGTTGAACTAAAGTTTGGATCTTTGAGGAGTTTCCTATAGAATCAATGATCTTGTAGCAATGAATCGGAGTGGATAGAATTGCATTTCTTTCATCTCTCCCGTTTTTGTATCCCAAAAATGCATCGTTTGATGGTCATGGAGAGATCCATCTCGTTTTCGTTTATGTTCATTGTACACGTTCTTAATCAAGATGCGTCTCTGCAGGGCGACAATGACTCTGACGATGACGAGGACGAGGAGAAGAAGAAGAAGCATCGTTACCGCAGGAACTATGATGACGACCAGTAAAAGTGAAAACCTCTCCTTCCCTTTTGGGAGTGCCTTGCTGTTACTTCTTCTGCTACATCAAGAGGCACATATATATACATACATATATATATATATATCACATCAACATCATATATATATATATATATGTGTGTATATATACACAACTCCTATGTTGTGTTGTCTATGTCGGAGTACTTGGACTGTGTCTCCCTTTTTGTTGTGATGTTTTTGACAATAAGACTGGTGAGCTGGTTGGGTCACTTGTTGCATTTCCTGTCTTTGTTACTGTCTTTATAAAACTATGAACCTTTCGAGAATATGATTTTGTGTTCTTGCTTTCTAGTTCCTACAAGTGCTTCAAACTTTTTCAGGAGATTCAGAATCTTGGTTTAAAAAATAAAAATAAAAATAAAAATAAAAAGGAAAGACAGTAGATTCCAATATATATACACATATGGTACAAGGATGAAGTTTTGGAATCAAATTCCTGTCTAGGGGCCTACCCTCTATCTCCCGTCATTTTGATGTCCTTTTTCAATCTATAATTGTCAATGTTGTATAAAATATTAAAGTATACATACACACATATATATATACGGGTTGACACATTTGGAAAAGCGTACATGTTGTTTTTTAGTGTAAAAAGATAACATTACTAGAATACAAAACTTGAATATATAATTGAATATATATATATATACACACACACACACACATTTAGCATGTGCAATGAAAGACACGAAAGCGTGATTGTAGGGCATAGAAAAGATTATGGAAGATTGTTGGTCGAGATTTGGACATTCATAAGAATCTGTCTCTTCTGTTAAGAGAAACACTAATTACCAAGTATTTGATTCATTTAATTTATTTTGTTTGAATATATTTTTCTATCAAGATAATAAAATACCATATAATAATAGTCTAACGATGTGTGAGTAATTTGTTGTCAGTGAATATTATCAATCAAATGATTGTTAAATTAGGGGGAATTGAATATAGTTATTTCAAAATAATTAAAATATTAGTGAAGCATCATTATAATTGATTATGATTATGGATAACAATATCTAATCGTATCGTCCTATAGTTCAGCCCACGCAATTAAATATGAATTTCCTATGAGAAAGAAAAGACTATTAATATTAATACACATGGACCACATCATAATATTAAAAATACATATTCAAGACGCGGGGAGTCATCAATATTAAAATACATAATAGAGGACGCGTATAATATATGGACCGCATATATCAACAGCATGTCTTCGAATGCATCCATGCATGCATAATGGCATCACATATACAGAGAATGCATGTATGACATATCCACATATCTGGATTTCACAGATTTGATATCCTTGCATATTTGACATTTGTCGTCTATATATGTTCCCACCAAACCAATCCGCGTAATTATGGCTGGCTATGTACAAGCATAGACACATACATACATTATACATACATAGATACATACATACTATATACAATATGTGTTGAATCCATACCCAGAAAAGGGAATCCTATTCAGATTCCAACTCATCCCACAAATATATAGTTATATACATTATGCATTGAATCCATTACCTGAGAAGAGAAGTTTACACAGATACATAGTTATAGAAGGACATAAACACAGATATACTATACCCACCCCCATGCATTGAATCCATTACCGGAAAAGGGAATTCAATCTGGATTCCATCTTATCACAAATTCCTCAGAAGAAACCCGACGTGAAAGAACAGAGCAAACGAAGAACAAGATCAAGGGGGGGAGGGCAGTTTCCTCTGAAACTCCGAGATTTTCTTGGGGAAAAAATCGAAACTTTCCGGGAACCCAGATCCGAGAAATATGAAGTTTGGGCGAGATTTCGAGGGTCAGATGATCCAAGAATGGTGTGAAGCTTACGTCGATTACCGCGCCCTCAAACTCATCCTCAAACAGATTCTCCGCTTCCGACATCGAGACCCTGCTTTTCGACGCTTTCCTCCTACTCCCCCTCCTCCTCCTCCGGCGCCGCCGTCCTCCACCACCGCCTCCGTAAACAACTCCGCCGGAGGCGGCGGAGGATTGACGAGGAGGATCTCTCTCTACCGTGCCTTCAGTGGCCTCACGAACCGAGCCAAAGGGTCACCGAGGAAACGAGACAAGCACAACCACCATCATAATCACCATTACCATCTCTTCGACGACGAAGAAGAGCAAGTGATTCTGATAACGGAGGACGAGACGGCGAACTATACGACGACGTTTCTGAACTCGGTTGATGATGGCGGAGAACTGGAGGTAATGTTTTTCCGGCGACTCGACGGAGAGTTCAACAAGGTCGTGAGGTTTTACAAGCAGAAAGTGGAGGAAGTTATGGAGGAAGCCGACGAACTTAGCAGACAATTGAATGTACTCATTGCTCTCAGAATCAAAGTGGAGAACCCCATGGCGAATCTTCCCGACATTAATGGCATCCACTCTTCCCCCGTTTCTCCAGAACATCAGAGCAATAGGGTTCCAGGTGAGTTTTAGACAGATTCAGCATCTGGGTTTTTGAAATTTCTCCGGGATGAGCTTGAATTTTGGCTGGATAATGGATTGATGATTCTGGGTTACTGAAATTCCATTTGCATTTCTTCAAAGTTGTAACCTTTTCTTTTTCGGGTAGAAAATCTTTTTCTGTATTAATGCTTTCTACAGATTTACTGTTTCTGGGATTTGTCCCTAGTTCAAAATTTGTATGAATTTATTGCTTTTGGTAGGCCAAAATCTTCACTTTTCCTCCTGGAGAAACTCAGACTACAGTGATGGGTTCTTGAAAGAATATTGAATCAAGCTAGTTTCGTGTTTGATTAGAGACTACGTTTGGTAATGTTAAGCTCTGGTAGTGCCTGTGATGTAATATTGTAGACACTTCACCAATGGCCACCATTAAAGAGCAAGAACAAGGCGAAGAAGAGACATCAGTGGATGGAAATCGAAACAAGGGCTTCAAACCAGCTCCATTGGAAATGTTAGATAATGTAAAGATCAACATCAAGCCCGAAACTCCATTGACGATGCTCAAATGCATGATTTCGAGCCTTACATCCAAGCAAACCTTCAGCAAGTCCGAGCTCAGGACAGCAGAGGAGCTTATGTCCCGTGCCTTTGTCGAGTTTTACCAGAAGCTGAGGTGTCTGAAGAGTCGGCGACCGAAGCCCCGGTGAACGGCGGCCGTAACGTTACTGGTGAGAGAATGTTTTAAGAATACTTCTGGTGAAAATTCTTGTTCTTCTTTGTTTTATGACTCTCTCTGTCCTTAGCTTCTTGAATCAGATGGGGTTTTCAAAGATACTGAAGAAGTATGACAAGGTTGGTAGCTTTTAAGTTCCTTCTGTTCTATTGTTTGTGTAAAATACATATATGTATATATATGTGGGTGCAATGTATTTTTCAGATTACTTCGAGGAATGCATCGAAATCTTACTTACATGCTGTCGATAACTCGTACCTGGGCACCAGCGAAGAGGTTAATATTATGGAAACGAATTCAGATACGGGTTCAGATCCCTTCTCTCTGTGAAGTAAAAATTTCAAAGTGTTTGCCTTTTTCAGGTGTCGAGGCTCATGTCCCGAGTGGAAGCTACGTATATTAAGCATTTCGCCCATGGAAATCACCGGGAAGGAATGCGAAGTCTGAGGCCGAAAGCAAAGAGGGAAAAGCACAGAATCACTTACTTTCTCGGTAAACCTAGTTTCTTAGCTAAGCTACATTTCGTTTTCGATGACAAAAATCCCGAGAAAGAATGAATTTTTTTTTCCTGATGAACTTCCTCTGCATCTGTTGCAGGCTTCTTGTCAGGATGCACTGTCTCGCTTGCTATTGCCATTATTGTTCTTGTACATATACGGAATCTGATGAGCAGTGAGGGTCGGCATCAATACATGGAAAACATATTTCCTCTTTACAGGTGATTTTTGACGAATTCATCAACTCGGTTACAGAGAAAGAGTGATTATTTTGAAAGATGGAGAGAAAATTTCAGCAATCTTCATGCTATTGTTGTTGCAGCTTGTTTGGGTTGGTTGCACTGCATTTGCTAATGTATGCAGCAGACATATACTTCTGGAGGAAATGCCGGGTGAACTATCCGTTCATCTTCGGGTTTGAACAGGGAACTGAACTAGGTTACAGAGAAGTGCTTCTTATAGGCTCTGGTCTGGCGGTTCTTGCATTTCTCGGCGTCGTATCCAATCTCGACATGGAAATGGACCCGAGAACAAAGAGTTTCAGTGTCATTACTGAACTCGTCCCTCTAGCCCTTCTCATCGTAAGTTTCCATCGAGAACTGGCTTAATACCCGAGCATATCTCATGTAGAGGATATCGATATGATTGCCGTGCATGTTTTGCCTGTGATCTTGCAGATTTTGACATCGATCTTGTTCTGTCCGTTCAATATAATATATCGCTCGAGTCGGTATTACCTCATCAGATGCATCTTCCATTGTCTTTTAAGTCCTTTGTACAAGGTAACACCTCTTCTAAACTTGAACGAAAAAACAGAACTAGCTCAAGAATTTGTAAACTAGTTTCAAAAATTCCGCAGGTTGTTCTTCCGGACTTCTTCCTCGCAGATCAACTCACAAGCCAGGTAACATAGAGGCGGTTTAGCAGCCGGTTTTGTGTTGGTTATCATTCGGTTTGCCTTCAAGAATGTAGCGGTTGTTTCGGTTCACAGGTCCAAGCTTTCAGAAGCTTATTATTCTACATCTGCTACTACGGCTGGGGAGATTTCAAGAGAAGATCGAACAAATGCTACGAGAGTGACGTTTACAGGCGGTTTTACATCATCGTCGCCATTATCCCCTACTGGTTCCGCTTCGCCCAGGTAATCCGGGGAAAAAAAACGACAACCTTAAACCCGCAAACTTTTAAAACGACGCCATTGTAATCTACAGATAAGGACTCTATTCGGGTCTCACATGTTGCTTCCACCGATCAGTTTGCAGATCTGTTTATAAAACCGTTATCGAGCTCTCGTTGTATATTTTCACTGATTACATTCGCAGAAAATATCATATCGTATAACTGTTACTCGTTTCCAACGATCAAAACCTTTAATATAACCGCCTTTTATTCTTCATTCGTTACAGTGCATAAGGAGGATGCTTGAGGAAAAGAACAAGGACCACGGCCTGAACGCGCTCAAGTATATGTCGACGATAATCGCGGTGGCAACGAGGACGTTGTTCGAATGGCGTAAGGGGACGTACTGGTTAACGGTAGCGGCCACGACCTCGAGCATAGCGACAGTTTTCAACACGGTTTGGGACCTCGTCCACGACTGGGGACTCATGAACCGTAATTCCAGGAACCCCTGGCTCCGTGACAAGCTCCTCGTCCCGTACAAGAGCGTCTACTTCGTCGCCATGGTAAAGAACCTCGGACGGGAAGGGAAAAAAAAAGTTTTTTTTTTCGGGTTCGATGGTTAACGTTTTTTTTTTCTTATGGGTGTGTGTGTGTGAGAGAAGGTGGTGAACGTGGTGCTAAGGCTGGCGTGGATGCAGTCGGTGTTGGGGATAAGAGAGGCGCCATTCTTGCACAGAAGGGCATTGCTCACCGTAGTTGCCAGCTTAGAGATTCTTCGTCGTGGCATTTGGAACTTCTTCAGGTAACATCAAACAAAAAACTTCTCTCTGATTTTCTCGATGATTTCAACTCTTCGTTATGCATCGAATCGGACTTAAAAGAAATCTATCGGACTTGAAATCCTGAAGCTTTCTTGTTTTGGTTCGAAGGTTGGAGAATGAGCATTTGAACAACGTGGGGAAATACAGGGCCTTCAAGAACGTGCCTTTGCCTTTTCACTACCAAGAACTTGGAGGAGCAAAGAGAGTGTAACCCTAAACAAAGAAAGAGGAAAGAACCAAAATTTTGATCACTTAATTCTATATATATATATATATATATATATGTATGTATACACATTATGTTATACATTTATACATTATATATTATATTTGGATTATATATATATATATGTATGTATACACATTAGGTTATACATTTATACATTATATATTATATTTGGATGCTTTATAGGAGAACTCAAACTTTGGAGAGAGAACAAAAACAATAAGAAAAAGGAAGAAGAAGGCTTGTCCTAGAGAGGCCCGTAATTCAGTTTTTAAGCCCAAAATGAAACATTCTGTATACGACACCGTGTGCTTATATATATATATATATATATATATATATATATATATATTGAAACCCTTCCTCTCCTCTGCAATTATTGGCATCGCCGTCTCTGTTACTGGTTCTGGGTCTTTCCTTCTTTTTCCGATTATTTTTCGGACTCGCTCTCGGTCTCTCTTTTTTTTTCTTTTTTTTTTGTTGAGGAATCTTCGAAAGGTATATATATGTATGTGCGTGTGTGTAGGTATGTATTGCACAAGTACTGGGACAGCCCCGTGAGATGAAAGAGAATCGGGGATTCTGTCTAATCGAAAAGTGGTGCAGAAATCAAAATTAGGGATCCGCTTTGCAGCTTAAACCCGACCCGGTTTCTCGAACCGGGTTCCATGTTTCTGCTGCCAGTATTCCCCTGAAAACCCCTCTTCCCTCCCAACAAATCTATTCTAAAGTTTTTCCCTTTTTGTTTGATCGTGCTCTTGAAATTAGATCGGATTTCAATTCAATCTTCCATCTATATGTTCTTTTTCTTCGTGGGACCTATCTCCATGAAGAAACTGGGTTTTGCCTTTTTCTTGTTGAAGAAAGCTGGAAATGCAAACAGACACCTGTGACCTGGCTAAATGAAATCCTGATGATTTTTCATAGCTTGAGTTTGACCATTGCATTCTGGTTCGAGGCCAAAGACACAAGGAGCAGAAGGACTCACTTACCTGTCTGTATTGGTTAACAGATCCAATTGAAAAAGAAAAAAAACCAGTAGAGAATGACTTCTTAAATCAAACCCTTCATGTTCAAAGTGGTTACAAGAATCTTATTGGATCGAAAACAATGTCGAGATTCGTTCGGATGAACAAATGGAACTTCCGCCAAAAAAAAGGTCAGGATTAGAACACAATTCCAGTCAAACAAGACAAAAGGGAGATATTTCTTCAAACCATATGGCATGAGTTTGCTGCTAAACCCTCTCAGTGATGAGCCTTGGCTTCAGCCTTCTTTTGCGAGTTTGCCTTCACCTGCTCAATTCGATGGTATATGTTTATTAGTGGTGGGTTGCTTACAAGTACAAATATAAGTTCTTGTTACATGATCCATCTACCATAACATGCACAAACTGATTATGGAATATCATCAACTCATACCCACAAAAATCTAAGTTCATGTAAGTATATATAGATAGAAATGATGCAGGTTGACAGAAGGAAACCTGAGTTTTCCCAGAAAAGGTTGATCAATAATAAGGAGAAATTAATGCAATGATAAACCTAAAGGAAGGTAAAAGAAGGGTCCAGTTTGACTTTGATGAACATTAAGATATACAAAAGACTGATCAAGCCCCACACGAATAGAAACAACGTGAAGGATGTATAATATAAATGCTTGAGACTACAGTGAACAAGAGTCAGAAGAAAGATGGAGAAGAGAAGAAAAAAATATGAGAAGGGAAGAAAATGATGGGAGGAAGAGGAACACCACGCTATCTTATCCCATCTACACACAAACTCATCGCCAAATCGAATTCAACAACACCGGAAATAGGCAAACACCAATCAGAGATTTCACACGGGATTCAAGAGCCACACTTGATAAAAACATGTGACGAGAATATTACACTATTACCTATTATCAGTAAGAATCTAATCGAAAACATCAAAACTGAATACAGAGTTGATTCCAAAGATCTAATTTCGTAGCTGAATCGAATCCAAAAACTGTACTTCACCAGAACCTACGCTAATCGGATCAGACAACGACAAACGGTAGGTAACCCAGTTCTACGATGGAACCAACACAGCGATCGAGAAGTTTACCTTGAGAATCTTGAGCTTCGTGTTCCCGTAGAACATACCCAAAGTGAACGCCGACACACGACCAACCTAATCGAAGATCAACAGCGAGGTGAACGATCTCGACGCGAATCGAAGAAAAGTTCGTTGTTCAAGAAGAGAAGTTGTACCAGAGCACCTTATCAAAAAAAAAAAAAAAGTTGTACCAGAGCAAGGGTGCTATTGCCGGAGTAAAGCCCAAGAGGTGACGCCATTGGATTCGCTCTCTGATCTCCGATTTCTTCTGCTGAAACCCAAACCCTAGATCAAAGGAATCTGGTCTTCGCGCAACCTCAAAATCCCTAATATCACCGAATGATTGTAAAATGTATCCTAAATATTTCCATACAAAAGATGTTTTTTTTTTCATTTTAATTTTACATCTTTATTTGCGCTAGCATTGAAACGGCGTCGTACAACGGATTGAACCATCCTCATGCCTGAACCGAACATTATACCGTACCAAATTTTGGTTAATATTGGTTTAGGATAAAAATACCTGAAATTTTTTATTTTTGTTATAATAATTCAGTTTATTTTGGTTTGAATTGGATTCTTTCCATTTTAAAGAAATCATAACCATATCTTTTTTTTTTTATCAAAATTTAATTCGATGATGATAATGATGATGATGCAACCTTTATACATGGGCTTCATCGGGCCCATTTTTTGTAACTTTTAACGTGAGTTTTTTTGGGTCATGGCCATCTCGCATTTCATTTTGTTTACTTAAATTCCATTTATTTATTTATTTTATAAAGTAAATTCCATTGATTGAAGTAAACAATAACCAGATTAAATTTCGGTGTAGTTACAACCAATCTGTACACAAATCAAAATCTGTATTTTGAATCCAGCTAATTCATTTTTAAACTAATATGTTGGTTAAATAGTTATTGAACTTCAGTTGTGTCGAATGTGTGTGTGTATATATAGATTGTGTGTGTGAACGTGTATGTGAATATATGTAAATGCTTGCATATGTGTATATGTGCATGTAAACATGTATATATGTGTGTATATATGTGTTTCTTAACATATTTATAACGCTGATGTGCTGTTAATATAATATAGATTCCGATTTGTCGGTCAGTTTCTTTAGTTGGATTGTTTGAATTCGTTAGCGGAAGCGATAAATATTAGCGGCTTTTGGCACATATTCCTTTCCATAAATCAATTTCATGTCCATAAGGTGTGTCATGTCATGTGTTTCCAAAAATGTTGCCGGAAAAATATATACATACATATATATATATATATATATAAATAAAATAATGCAAGTGAAATATCATAAATCGGGACATTTATTAGTAGTTCATAATCTTTTTATGCAAGGAAGAGGGCATAATGAGACCGAAATTAAATTCAGCAATAATGCGATCTCAACTTCTAACTCATACCCCAGCCTGTCCGCGTGATCTTTCAATTTAATGCCCGAAAGCAACACTTCTCAATGAATTCCACGTCCCCCCCCCCCCCCAAATTATTAATTAATAATTTATTACTTCTCAAAAGTTTGTAAATAAATATTAGGGTCGTCGGTCCATCCGGTTCGGGTTGAGTACTCGAGCTGCCGATCAATGTATAATATTCGGAATATAGAATATAGTTTGGTAGCCAACAAAATTATCTAGCAAGCACGTCGTGATCGAACAAAAGCGGCTAACATAATGGCCGTCGATCTCTAGAACATTTGCGAATCTGACGGTAGAGAATTAACCATGTCAAGAATGTTGTTCCAATAGTCTCTATTGTCCTCAATTAAGTAATGGCTCCCACAGCTCTCGCCGGAATATTCCCTCCCCTCTCCGGACAAACTCCGGTCAACCGACCCATTTAGCAGAAGATCCGCGAATCCTTCTCCCGCGACATTGTCAACGACCCGGTCCGACCCGAACTCGAGTGAAATGTCCAAATTGCCCTTGTAACCTTCTGATACGTCATCCTCGTCCCTACTGTTGTCTTTATCATTATCACCGGAGTCACCTTTGCTCGAGTCCGACGGATCCGAGGTCGCGGCAATAGACTCCGTCACGTTTTGCCGATGGAGCGTTGGACAAGACGCAGTTCTAGTTGCATCGTCATCGGATGCAGCGTTGACGAACTCCATGCCGTTTTCAATATTGGAGGCGGAACTCCACGTCGTCTGACGGCATCTGACCGAGTAGGACCTGAGCTTGGCTTCTCGGACGAGCCTGGCCTCAGCTTCGAGCCGGGCACTCTCCCACTGAGCCATGTGGCTAAGATTCACCACGTTTTTGGTCTGACCAGTGCTCATCGTCAAGAGGGTTTCGTTCTTCGGTTTATGCGTAACCGGGTCAATCCCCATCTTGGCTAACCGTTTCTTGAGATGGGTGTTCCAATGGTTCTTGATCTCGTTGTCGGTCCTCTTTGGTAGATGCGTCGCAATAGCTGACCACCTTTCGAAGAAAACCGAACACATTACCATCAAACCGACCGATATACAATCCAAACCGGAATACTGGTTAAGGCGTACCGGTTACCGAGAAGGGCATGAAGCTGAATGATGGTTTGTTCTTCCTGGGAACTGAATTTGCCACGTTTAATATCAGGTCTGAGATAATTAATCCATCGAAGCCTGCAACTCTTTCCACATCTATGAAGACCTAAAACGCAGTTATAACGTAAAGATCAAGTAACCAGAAAGAGAGCGATATTCAAGAAAGCATGATGATCTGTAGATGAAGATGAATGAATCACCGGCTTTCGATGGTAAAGAACGCCATCCACCGTGACCGTGTTGTTCGACGTAAGCCAAGAGTTTCTCGTCTTCTTCGGGCGTCCACGGCCCTTTCTTCAGACCATCTTTGTCGCAGCACGGCGATCTTCCCATTCTCCGACCACTGAGAACTAGTTTCTGTCTGTTTCAGAAGGTTATAGAAGCTTCACTTAAGTTGAACATATATATATACGCGTGTGTGTGTATATATATGTGTGTGTGTGTGTGGCAGTGAGTCGGTTTTCTTTTATCGTGTATGAGAGATGCAAGTAGGTGTTGTAGCTTTTGTGAGTAGAGCAATATATGAAGTGAAAGTTAACAAAAAAATAATAATAATTAACAAAAAAGTTAACAAAAAAATATATATATGAAGCGAACTATTTTCTTCTTTATATTTTATATTTTTTACATAATATTTGTGAATTTTGTTTAGATATGATGAATTTCATTACAGTGAAGTGGTCCAGAAACACCGTTCTATGGAAATCGATCGAGTTTGTCTTTTACTTTTGCAGAATATATATATATATATATATATATTTGATAATCATAATATTTCGATGGTGAATTTCTATAATGGAAATGAATTTATTTCCGTGGGTCCAAAGGTTTTAATTGACTTTCATGGTTGAGGACTATTGCATTGTCGCTACGATACTCGGGGCTATGACGAGGCCATGAATACTATTATTATCACTCCCCCTGAACGTGTTTCCATTCTAATTAACATTTCGAATTTTCGTATATATATATATATATATATATACATACATATTTACTTTTATTAATTTTATCGTGTAGCGGTTACATTAAAAATACAGAACATGAAACATTTATAGTTTTTATATCATTAATTATCAATGAATATAAGTTAGGGAATAGCAACGAGAATTGCGAACATCTAATTTATAACTTTCTAAGTTGGATTAGATAACATTTTCAATTGATAGATTCATTTATGGTTCCGTCTACAATAATTCATCTCAAACATCCTTTTCTTTTCTTTTTATTTTTATCTACAATAATATTTCGTTTCAAACATCCTTTTTCTTTTACTTTTATTTTAATTAATCACTCCAACAATATTAGAGTTGAATTATTTGTTCAAAATTAAACCTTGGAATTCGGTTCAATTAAAATTTTAATTCTTAAAAATCTTCTTTTATTATTTTTATATTTGATTCAAATTCGATTAAATCAATCATACTATAATTATATTCAAGATTTTTAAATCTAATTTGATCAGGACATAGGTGTGTTATTATCTTCAGTTCTCTTATATACCCGATCCAAAATGCCCATTTATAATTTTAAACACTACAAGGTGTAAACAAACCCGTTAAATATATGATTAGATTTTTTGTAAACTCAAAAAGCTCGAGGATAATTCTGCATTGTTACCCTTTTTTTAAAAAAAAAAATTGCAAACATAAAAAATCAGAAAGTAATACATACATATGCATATATATATATATATATATATATATGCATATATGAAATCGAATCAATATCTTTATGGGTGACCAAAGTAGTAAAAGTTGCAGTGATTGTTTTATATAATCATAAATAAAGTAGGATAGAAATTTCTGCAAGCTTGACTTGCCAAATCACTTGTCGTGCCAATAGAGGATCTCAATTTAAAGCACTGATTATGACATTGAAGGTTTTGCTTCGCTTATAAAAGTTGTCAGTAACTTCATCTACTTAACCCCCTATTTTTTATTTCCCAAAAATATTAAATTTTTTTTTATATATAAAGATAATGATATTTCAATTTTTCATTTTCAAATATTTATTATGCATATAAATCATAAATTCATAATTTTTCTTTCGTATGCAAATATGATTTAAGGCTGGTTAGTTGCTTGGGCTGATGTCTAATGGGCCTTCCCATTAGACAAATGGATTAAGTCATTTATCAGCCTTATGGCCCATCTTACGAATGACGTGGCACAAATGGACAAAGCCCAATTCCAAGGAATATGGGCCATGAACGATGACGTCAGAGTTCGGATATTCTCCAATGGCATTTTCTGATTTCCACGTAATTGTGCTTTCGTATTTATGACGATCGTTTTGTATTTCCATTTATTATCTAATGTCAAATTAAATTAACACATTATGGGACCACAAGAGCCACGTGTCACATGATCGACAGGACAAAAATGTGGGCCCCGCATCTGCCTAACGCTAACTATTCTGATGTGACGACGTCGTTTCCTTGCCCCTCCCCTTTTTTTTGGTCAACATTCATTCACATCTCGCAGCTTCTGAATCTTCCCATCGTTTCACTCTTATCCTTATCTATTTTCCTCTTATATTCTATAATATATTTCACGATTCATTTTTACTTTTATGATTTACTTAACCTTCAAAAATATGGTATTTTCCATATGAAGATATTTTGTGTTCAAATTAAATTACTTTTTACTTTTTGAAAAATGCATTCATTAATAAAAATATCGAATGTATGTTATGTTGATTTTTCCGTTGAAGCCTCCAAAATAGCAACATACTTTCTAGCACTAAGGGATAAAATATAACGCACTAGAAACGACAAATAAAGTTTTTGAAACCAGTTTATATTTAATATTGAGGTCAAAGTATTGATAAATATATATTGGTTAAGATAAATACACGTGGAGATTATAAAAAAAAAGATAAATACACGTGGGGACCCTTTTACATATTTTTTTTGGTTTATTATACTTTTATTTTATGTCTTCCTGTATTAAAAAAATATAGTTAAAAACTTAAAATAGCAGTCATCTTATCTCTAAAACTCCAAATTGAATAATGTGAATTTCATAATGCATGTATTAATTTTGGAAAAACTCGAAAGATTTACGACACAAAGATTCTCTTTACGTCAACATATGACTACTTTTTATTCTAACTAAAAAACAAATTAGACGTCTTTTAAAAATTGTATTCATAAGAAAATCGGCATTTTTCACATTAACCAATTTAGTTTTTATTTACTGTTGTAAAAAATCCACATTTTATATTTTTGCAGTTTGATAATTGACAAAATGATTCATGACAATTACAAAATAAATTTTATTCAAAAATAAGATAATTTAACTTATTTTGAAAGGAAAATCTTTTTTAAACTCTTACGAATTTCAAAAATCACTATTATACATTTTTTTAAATAAGTCAAATTTTAGCGTGCTATTTCTCTTTCCAAAACTATTATTAGTGAGATATCAATTACAAATTAATTCCAAACCTTTTTTTACAAATTTTACAAGTTGTCATCAATCTGATGTGTATCTCGCAACATTCATGCACATGACTACGACAAATTACAAAGCACAAAACCTCAAAACAATCACTAAATTCCTAAAATACCCCTAATTGTTTTTTTTTAAGGGAATCAGTAATTCCAATAGCAACCCGGTTCTGCCGAACCGGGTGAACCGGGATGAACGATACTTTCCAAAGGTCTTGGGACCAACTCGGTTGCCGATGGATCCAAGAACTCGGGTATTTGGTTATTATCGGTTACTTGGCCATGAAGTAACATCTTCAAGATTGGACTGTCTTGCAACAATACCGAATCAGCGTAAAGTTGGGAACCGTAGTTCGGTATTAACTGGGGAAGACTTGAGAAGGAAGAAACCCGTTGAAAGGCCGAAGTCGGACCGGATAAGGGAGGGGTAAATCCGTCATTCGACTCGCACGACGGTCTCTCGTCGTCGTCCTCCGTTGCTTGGTCGGCGAAGCAGGTCACGTGAGGCAAACCGGTTGAACCGAATGGATTAGCCGATGAACTGAATCCCATTAAACCGGAGATATGCACCTTCTTTCCATCGGCTCGTTTCTGAAAAACCCGACAAATCACCCATTCGTTCTGCTTTTACCAGCACACAAGACACAAAAATCAATACAAATTACAGAGAATACTCAGAATCACATGCTTGTGTTGTTTATGTTTTTACCTTTGTGGTTTTGGAGAGATTGCCGATGGAGTATCTGCCTTCTAAGCGGTATTCGTGCATGATCCAATTGGTTTTCTCACCTTTAGGTGCTCTGCCTTTGTAGAAAACCAGAGTTTTCTTCATACCAACGAGCGATTTGCCTTTAAAGATCTCTTTGTCTTTGCCGGTGGCCTTCCAGTAACCGGCTTCGGTGGCCCGGTTCGTTCTCAAACCGGTCGGGTATTTCCGGTCTCTTAAACAGAAGAAGTACCACTCCTTCTCCCCCATCTTAGCCCTCCCTGTTCCGCGCAAAAAGCAAAACTCGAAAGATTCGTGACAAGTTGCGAATTAAAATTGCATGATTTGAGAGATTTCAAAAAACCCAGAGAAGAAAAAGTCGGAAAACTTACAGGGCAAGTCCCAAGGCTCGACCTTGTTGAGATCTGCTTCACCAATGGCCGTTGCGGAGAAGAAGGTATTGAGAACCTTCGGTCTCAAGTACTGAGTGATGAGTTCTTCATCGGTAGGATGAAACCTGAAACCAGGAGGAAGATCGATATGCTCTTCTTCTGATTCTCCTCCTCCTACTATTTCTCCGGTTCTTGGCGTGAAATCCATTTCTGTCAAATGGGTTTCCACTGAATTTATCGAAAGTTTCAAGCTTTGGTAGGAAAAAATCTTTTTTGTTTGTGTGTGTATCTGTTTTTGGGAGGGAAAGAGTAGATAGAAAGCAGGGTTCAGCGATAGAATTTGTAAGCGGGAAGAGGGAAGAGGGAGGGGTTTAAAAAATTAAAACCAAACCAGGACGGTGCTGACGTGGACATCTTCACCCTTGATTTGAATTTTGAATGTGTATAGCTGTATATGATACGTATGTTTGTGTATCTATGTATTCGTGGATTTGGCGTTATATGTATACATTAGTATATGTGCGTTTTCCCTTATTCAGCTTAGGACCGGTTCGGATCCGGTACGCGAGATTCCGGTATTATTGGGATGCGAATGTTCTAGATTAAAAATTTTTAGATTTGATCTGTAAGTTCATATTTCAATATACACGAAAGTATAATTTTGGTCAATTGAATATCTATAGAAATATCGAACTATATAATTTTACGCATAAAAATCTGAATTCAAATACAAATACTTCAAATATCGGATTGATGAACCGATTAAATATCAAAGAATCGGTAATTTTACCCTAATTAGGACATCACCTCTCTAACCGTTGTATTTATACATTTATATACTCTTAACTATATATCTAAAGATAAACACACAAACCATGTAGGGCTTTGTACACGTGACCAATCCAGTTTAAATAATCGATAGGAATCGGTCCATATGTTAATTAAATTTATAATTTAGTGTTTTTATTTTAGACTTAATATGGTGGAAAAGAGGGCGCCACGTGGATAGTTAGGCATTTTTAGATGTGTAATTTTCATGGTCTTTAAAAAAAAAACTTTCTTTTTCATAAACTTTATATTTTCCAAGTTTTAATTTGACCAGCAACATCCGTGGTTCTCCAACCTTCTCTTATGTGATAAGAACAAACAAAGAAATAAAATACTTTATTTATTATGTAATTCTTTATTTATTTTTACATTTATTGTTCATTAATTTTCACTTAACTTGTTGAATAATTGAAATGATCACCGGTCCAACAACGATTAAAAACTAGTTGAAAAATTCACTATTTTTAAAATATAATTGAGTTTTTTTCGAGTGTAACTAATTAAAGAGTTTAGGACAAAAGTATCTTGAAAACATGAACGATTTCTTGAATTGTCCTTTGCAGTCACGAAATATTGAAAATAAATCAAATGATTGGTTCTAAAAAAATATAGAAAGACTTCACGTGATAAGTTGTATCCATCATCAATAGAAAGTAATCTTTCTTTGGAATCCCAAGATTATATTTTTTTTTTATGAGATGATTTTTATAACGAAGGCGAAATGTTTATTAATAATAATATTATTATTTTTGTCCAAATTTTAAAAAGTCTACTAGTTAGTTGGTACAAATGATATAATAAGCTTAGTCAGGGAAGTCCCCCAACCTAGTGGTTAGTGACAACTTCCATCCACCAAAAAGTTGTGGGTTCGAAACCCAGGTATAAAAATTTTCCTTGAGTCGGTCGAGGCTGGTTTTCTTACTCTGTATTGTTTGCCGGCTACTACGTAGGGCGGTAGATTTTTTCAGATCCGCGATGCTGTCCTGATGTCGTTCTCGTCCAGTCCATGGATTGAGAGACGTTGGGGTGTCCGGTGTCCGATCCGAAGGGTTATAGGATAGGAGTTTCCCATCGTAACAAAACAAAGATATAAGCTTAGTCACTTTAAACTCACAATCCATGATGAATGTTGATGGGCGGTTTTCATAGACTTAACAGCGCATATTGTGGATATATAAGGTTATATATATATGAATGAATGTCATTTTAGTATTAATGTCGAAAGTCGAAGATACGTGTGAAAATGTAAGGAAAACTGTGTTTACATATACATGTGAAAGATGACGACGAAGTTGAGCAAAATCAGTTAGACCATGCGACAGTCTGACCAACCTCTTACCACGTTGTCATATGCGCGATCATTTTTCTGTCTTTTTGTGCAATAATGTTTTCGTCCATACGAGGTTGCATGTCTCGTTGTGTTTCTTAAATTTTACTCATTTTAAATTTCCATGAATTTCATTGTAAAGTTTTTTTAGATAACCGGATATGCATAACCGAGATCCAAATTAATTATGGAATTGGGAGCAAATCATATGATTAGAATTATATTATTCTTTCAAATTTTGTTGATAAATAGGATTAATGATTGAACTTATGAGATATTTTTTAATATAAAAATATCGGGTTTAGGGGAATGAATTCAAGTGATTATTTAATGAATTCCTGAATTTGTGAAGCCGCATAATTTCCTTTTTGCGTAAAAAAGCGATTGAAATGTTTTTAATATATGAGGGAGGGCCAAAACGCGTGGCAGTTTGTCTTGAAACGGCAAGAGTTTCGATCGTCTTGGCAACCTCTGTTGACCCGACGGCGACATTCATCGTAGAAGATCAACGTCGTAATCGGGAACATGCGGGCGGGCGAGGCACGTGGCTGGTTCTCATTAGTCGTAGTAAGTATGTAACAGATTTTAGTATTTTACTTTGTTAATTTATATTTAAATAAAATCCTTTTTCTTACCTTTTTTTTTTTAACAAATTAGATCAAAAGTGTGTTGTATGTAGTTTAGTCAAATTTGTCTTGAGTATATAAAAAATATTAATTCTGTTGATAACAATCTTAATGTATTTTTGGTTGCAAAAACATTAATTTATTTACATATTATCACCAAAAGCAAAAAATAATTAAACATGAAATACAAACTAATAATGCTATTGTTGACAACGACAAAATATTTGTTGGTATCGTTACGAGTTAATATATACTCCAAAAACAATAATCAATCCATACATAAATCGGAAAATTTTATTTACATACATAAATCTAATTATGCGATTTTTACCATTTTAATATTGCATTATTAAGTGGGTTTTAAACCATGTATTTCTAATTGTAGGCAGGGGGATATGTACCGGAAAATAGGAAATTTCTTTTAAAAAATAAAAAATTGAAAATTAAATTAATTAACCAATGAAAGTAAACAAAAGTAAAATTATAGTAGTTGAATATATTATTATTAAGTATATATGCAATTTCACTAATTTATTAGTGTAGTTCATACGTAATGTTGAGAAGAGCAATTTAATTCACGTGCTACTCTTTTTTCTTTTTTTAACCAACTCCCATATATTATTCTACAAGTTAAAACATATGGTTCCTTATGTGAATAGAAACTCTCGTGTATTTACATCTTTGCGCGTATCTATTTTAACATGAAATTCTCCATCAATGGGCTTAATATATGGGCTTATTTCATCAGCATAGATTTTGGGCCGAAGCCCAAATTTGTCTTACTATACTGTATGATCTCGAGGTTCATCTCATTACAAATCCACGGTCGGACAACATACAAATTACAATGCTGCATTTGTTGCAATATATATATATATATATATATATGTTCGATGTTCTTATTTCTTTTAACTTTAAAATACATTTCTATTATTTTATAAGACTGTTGTACATTAAGGGAGACTGATTTTGTTTTTTATTTGAAAATCTGTATGAAATCTCCTATAAAAAAAAATTGGTGAAAAAATCCTATAAAGTTGAACTTCGTTTTGATAAAAATTTAATGAATTTGCGTAGCATTATGTTGATGTCTTTAATCAGAAAAAAAAAATACGTCGAATATCACATAATACAATGTGAACCGAGTTTGAAGTACACAATTTCTCATAAATTTTTTTTTGGATTATTACATTAAATTTAAATCTTACCTTTCAAATTAAATTATCCTCTTAGATACAGACAAACAAATTAAGTGGAAGTTCACCAATTAACCGCAATATTGTCCTATTATTAACTCTAACCGTTCTAATCATCTCGTATTGTCTCGCAATATTAGAGAAGAGAGTAATGAGGTTGGTTTGGTTGACGGTCCACATTTCTCCCATTAATTAAATGATAATGTTTAATAAGATTTCTAAATTTCTCTTAAATAAGAACATTTAATTAAATAATATAAGATGTGGTCAGTTTCTGATATGACCGATCAAATTCAATAAAGGAAACGCGTGCTAATTTAAGGTGACGAAAAATCAAATCGTACAAGATTTTCATATACACTTGTAACGTGTGTTTATATTACGTGTTACAGGTAAGACAATTAAAAACTTGTGTTCCTTTTTATTTTGTTTATTTTTATTTTTATAAATGAAAGGTCGATTACTTGAAGACGTGGGCTTAAATTTGTCTGCATATTTTGTAACCTAAATTTATTACAATCTTGTGCCTTTGTCTCTTCATTTCTTGTGTCTTTCATTCCAGTGAGTCCTACAAAAACAGTGGAACTTATTTTCCGTACTATATATATATATATATATATATATATGGAGACTACGAGTTTACGTTTATTATTTGCGTTTTATGCTAGAAATTAAGATCCGAAAAAATAAGCTATTAAATCGGGAGAAATATATAAAAAGTTTATTGGAGGTAAGAATATAAATTCGATCAAATTATGATATAAAAAAGATTATACCAAGTGAAAGAAAATTAATCAATCCCATAAAGATAAATTGGTGCGGTGATAATAAGACACATATATTTTGTAGAGTTTAATTGAACAAAATTCAGAAGAATGAACAAAGTATAAGATATAAATTAAATATTATGTTTTTATTTTTCTACTCCAATATTCACAAGAAAAAAAAAAGTTAAATCTTATTTTGATTTTGCATAGATGATAGATGTTACAAAATGAGGTACTAATTTAATATCTCGACACTTCTATTTAATTTTATCCATGGGCATGATTTGGTTACAGAGCTTAATTTTAAGGCACAAAAATAAAGCTAGGGACATTGTTATTAAATGTTTTAGGTCCAATGTTTGTCCCAAAATCGAAATGACACATCATTAATTACAGCGTTCCGCACCACATGTGGCATGGTTAATGGACCTTTAGCTCAAACTTTATTATATAATATATTTTGGACCTCTTTTACTGTATAGAAACAAAATCATATTATCGGCATTATACTTCGAATTTTTATATACTCTTTCTAATGCTCAACCAAAATTTTGTGCGATTTGTATAAATTATTGATCCAAACCATAACCACTTAGCGGGCAAAAAAATTTTCATGAGTTGATTTGCGGATCAACTCATATTTTTTTCTATGTACCGAAATTTCATGGCATCTTAATATTATCCGAAATAATCGTAACCTGCAATATACATATATATATATATATAATTTACGGAAAATACATATTATTTTTATTTTGTGTTATAAATAGTATTTATTTTTTTTATACAAACAGCTGGAATCATATTTCACCAATGAAAATATCTGACTACAAAAGTCCCCACTGTTCATCACTTCTCCTGCAACCAATACGGTTATGCTTCAATTTTCCAATAACTACTACCATTCAAATATAAACAAACAAATAAATACTATTATAAATACATGTTCCTAAAAACTCGCATTTTTTATTATATAATTTATGGCCCTTCTTGTCTTTTAAAAAAAAATATGTCCACTATCCCCATTTTTTAATGTGAATTTAGAAATTATTTTATCATGTTTTAAAATTAGAATAGTTTAGAGCTTTTTCACTCTTTTTTGATATATATATATATATATATATAGCTATAATATTTCTATTTAATACATTTTTAAAACTTTTATTTGGTTTAACCTTAATCCCACGTTATGATGAATGGTTTGCATTATGGATATATTATGAATATCACCAATATTCGCAAATCTTAGACATATTCTTTCTTTATTTTTCTATAAATCTTTTGATATACTTTTACACAAAGCTATTTCTAACATTCAAATGAATAAAAAAGGATATACTTCGACCATTTGCATACACATACACACACACACACATATATACACACATACTAACACTCAATTTCATTTTTTTTTTCAAAAAAAAAAAAGGAAGTTGTAATCTGTAATGCCAAATTAACAGTAGCTGAAGAAGACCAAGAAGCAGTTGCATGGACCCAATTACAGCTCAAATTTATCATAATCTGTGATCTTTTTCATTTTTATTTTTTATTTATATATATTTTGGTTATAACTGTTACAGTTTCATGTCAGACAATTTTGACTCGATGTCCTTAGTGCCTATTTATATCTCCTCTTCATAATTTCGTTTCATCACACCACCTCCACCTTCTCCCTCTTGCATGTGTTCTTATTCTCAATTGGTTTTGCAGAAGCCCGGTTATATAACCGAGAGGAGAAGGAGAGGATGGGTATTTTGGTGATTTCACTTCTGGTGCATGCACTCCTTGTCAGCGTTTGCGTTTGCGTTCACGGCGGCGGGGGAGGCAACTGGATCAATGCTCATGCCACCTTCTACGGCGGCGGAGATGCCTCCGGTACCATGGGTATGTATTGTATCTGCCCTAAATCAACATTTCGATCCGTAACAATTTGCCGACACGATCGAAATCTTGTTTGATCTCTCATACGAGTTATCATGTATCAAGAACCCACAACTCGATCGTGTGGGGGCCTTTTCGGTCTTTTTGTAGTTCATCAACAACACGTGTGTGTGTGTATATGCATAGAAATTTATATACGTATAATTGTGACGATCATTGAATTGTTCAAATTAGGCGGAGCGTGCGGATACGGGAATTTGTACAGCCAAGGATACGGCACGGAAACGGCGGCGCTGAGTACGGCGTTGTTCGATAACGGACTGAGCTGTGGAGCTTGTTTCCAGCTCATGTGCGTGAACGATCCACAGTGGTGCATACGTGGCACCTCCATAGTCGTCACCGCCACCAATTTCTGCCCTCCCGGCGGCTGGTGCGACCCTCCCAACCACCACTTCGATCTCTCTCAACCGGTTTTCGAACGCATTGCCCGGTACACGGCCGGTATTGTCCCGGTTATGTACAGAAGGTTTCTTTCTAATCCACCCCCTCCCACCAAAAACCCTAATCGCCATTCTTAGTTTCAGCCCTTAATTCTCTGTCGACTTCCGGTCTATTCATTGACACGAACATTACAAAATCACTCAATAGTTTATCTATTTCGGTCCATTTACGAATTTTTTGGTTCATAAACATACATAACGTGTTTTTATTTTTGGTGGGTCCAATTGAAAGGGTGAGGTGCAAGAGAAGCGGGGGAATAAGGTTCACGATCAACGGTCACTCGTACTTCAACTTGGTGTTGGTGACGAACGTGGGTGGAGCAGGAGACGTACACTCTGTCTCGATCAGAGGGTCCAGGACGAGATGGCAGCTCATGTCGAGGAATTGGGGCCAAAATTGGCAAAGCAACTCTTACCTCAACGGACAAAGCCTCTCCTTTGTCGTCACCACAAGTGACGGCCGAAGCGTTGTGTCTTACAACGTTGCCCCTCCTGGCTGGTCCTTTGGCCAGACCTATACCGGTCGACAGTTCCGGTACTAGCTTAACCGGTTATCGCTATAAACCGATGGGTTTTATGGTTATGGTATTGCTATTAATGCAAGTTTTTTTTTGCGGTTCAAGGGTTTGGTTCTGGTTTTTTATGAAGCCCTAGAAACTTGAACTGCTATGCCATGTATCGAGTGATATATATATGGTTGGAAGCAAATTTTATTACAATGTTAGAAAAATTAGGGATTATTTCCCGGTATTAAGGTTGTAACTTGTCTGGTATTTCCATCAATGTTGATGCGGACTGCACCTAAAATAAAATGCATACATATACATATGTATACATAATTACATATACATGTATGCGCGAAAAAGTAGTCAAAAGATATGTCAGAGTACTGAAACGATCTCAATAGAGCAATTCCATGAAATATGTGTGAATTCCATCGACAACTGATGGATTTTTCATGTTCCCAAAAAACACCCTCACAACTCCCATTGCAGAGCACAAGTCTGAATCAATCGATGGAAAATGAGAAAAAAAGTTGAGATTTTTGCCATCCGGATTGCGTGTTTGAAGCTCCGCCTTATAACAAAATCGAACTCGGGTTCCATATAATATGGGTTCGCGTTTTCATTGCCACATTGCTCCTTCCCAGGTGGATTTAGAGCTTTCTGGATTTGATTGCACGAACCCTTTGTTCTGAAACGTGATTTCAACTCTGGGTTTTGAATTGCTTAAACCCCGACTACGACTTGTTTCTTCTGTTATTTGTTTGCTGGGATGGAGGCGCGTGAACGCTAGTGAGTCTTCATTTTGTTTTGATTTTGGCGCCATGTCTGCCTTGTCCGTCGTCGGACGACGGCTAGCCAAGGAGATCCGGCCTTCACTGTTCGACACGAACCCAGTTCTTCCTTCTCTCGAACGCGCCAACAAGCTCCTCAAGTTGTGCGCCGACTCAAGCAATCTGAGGGTTGGCGAATCGATTCATGCTCAGTTGATCATAAGGGATCAAGCGTCTCGGGCCGAGAACTTGTTCCAGGCCAATTCTCTGATCAATCTCTACTCAAAATGTGGGAAAGTGATACGTGCACGCAAGTTGTTTGATATAATGACGGAAAGAGATGTGATATCATGGAATTCGATTATGTGGGTTTATTTACATTCTGGGTTTGAATCGGAAGTTCTGAAAATGTTCAAAAGCATGTTCTTTTCCGGTGAACCGATGCCAAATGAGTACATAGCCACAGTTGTTTTGGGTTCTTGTTCTGTCGGTCGGAGCATTGAAGAAGGTAAGCAGTGTCATGGGTATGTTTTAAAAGCCGGGTTGCTTTCTCATGAGTTTGTGCAGAATGCCCTTGTCTATATGTACTCGAGGTGTTTGCGTGTAGAAGAGGCTATACGACTTCTGGATGAATTCCCGCATCCTGGCGTGCTTGCTTTTAATTCGGCTTTGAGCGGAATTCTGGATCACGGGTTTGCGAGAGAAGGAACTGATATTTTGAGAAGGATGGCTCAAGAAGATTTGAGGTGGGACAGCTCCACTTATGTATCAGTTTTAAGGCTCTGCAGCAATCTCAGAGATTTGAAATCGGGTCTGCAAATTCATGGCCATATGTTAAGAGATGGTTTGGAGCGTGATATTGTGACAAATGGTGTGATGATTAATATGTATGCGAAATGTGGTAAGATTGAGTATGCTCAGAGAATTTTTGATGGTTCAATGACTCGAAACGTGGTGTTATGGACATCGGTTATGGATGCATACTACCAGAATAAGTGTTTTGAGGAAGTTATGAATCTGCTTACAAAGATGGACCTTGAAGGTGTTTCTCCCAATGAGTTCACTTTCTCGATCTTGTTAAATTCCACTGCAGATTTATCTCTGCTAAGACACGGCGATGTTTTGCATGGACGAATTGTGAAATCGGGTTTCAAGAACCATGTAATGGTTGGCAACGCTTTGATTAACATGTATTCCAAGAGCGGCAGTTTAGGAGATGCAGAGAAAGTATTCTCCAGGACAACTTATCGAGACATAATTACATGGAACATGATGATATGTGGATACTCACACCATGGAATGGGGAAAGAAGCTCTCAAGACCTTTAGTAACATGTTGATCTCCCGAGAGATTCCAAACTATATAACTTTTTCTGGAGTTTTATGTGCTTGTAGCCATTCGGGTCTATTGCAAGAAGGATTGTATTGCTTTAATCGCCTAATGAAGCAATTCGGTGTTGAACCTGGTCTAGAGCATTACACATGCATCGTTGCACTTCTGAGCAAAGCCGGAATGTTTGCCAAGGCTGAGCATCTCCTGAGGACAGCTCCTGTCGAATTTGATACTGTTGCTTGGCGGGTTTTGCTCAATGCTTGTTATGTACGCCGGAACTACAGCCTAGGAAAACGGGTGGCAGAATTTGTGGTAGAGATGGATCCAAAAGATGTGGCAACCTACACACTGCTGTCCAATATCCACGCCAAATTAAAGGAGTGGGAGGGAGTAGCGAAAGTTCGTTCTTTGATGCGAGATAGGCAGGTCAAGAAGGAACCTGGAGTAAGCTGGATAGAGATACGAAACGTGACTCATGTTTTTGTTTCAGAGGACAGTCAACACCCTGAGATAAGGCGGATTTATGCAAAGGTGAGGGAAATTTTGTCAAAAATTAGACCTTTAGGCTATTCTCCCGATGTTGCCGGAGTTTGCCACGATGTAGAGGAAGAACAGAAGGAAGATAACCTCTCTTACCATAGCGAAAAGCTTGCTGTGGCGTATGGACTAATGAAAACGCCCGAGAGATCGCCTTTGCACATCTTCAAGAACTTGAGGATATGTGATGATTGTCACTCTGCCATGAAGCTTATCTCGAGTCTCTCGAGCCGAGTGATAATTATCAGAGATGCTGCTCGGTTTCATCATTTCCGAGATGGAGAATGTTCTTGTGGTGATTACTGGTGAAGATATATAAATAGAAAGCTGAATCCCATGGAGGCAAAACTCACAAGAATTGGATGACAGTAAGTAGTAAAAACGAACTGCCTGCATGTCCCTTTGAGTTGATTCCTCTGCTCATCATCTTTCTTGTTGTAAATAGACTCATCACTTCTGGTTGCAGTTTCAGGTTCGAAAACATTGGTTTTTTGGACAGATTCATCTTCTACAAAGGTATTGGCCTTTCTGAGTTATTATTTCTTCTATCTAATATGATTCTTTCTCCTATTTCTCCAGTTTAATGTTCTAGTTTTGGCACTTCGATGTTGATATGAAATGATGGTAGTTTATACAACCGATACAGAAAACATACACAGTCTCCTTATATAAAGCCAGAAAGATGGAGATTGTAGAGATTGTGAGCAAAAACAGAAGCAAAGATTAAAAAAAAAAAGATTCAGCAGAATCTGTTTTCCATGAATTTCACAAATTCATGAAAATCGATTCTTTCATCTTTGTTTCCATCTAATGATCTGATCATTTTCCTGCAGTTCTCCAAGTTAGATCCTTCCTTCAACCCTATTGCTGTTAAAACTCTCTGCAACTCAGGTGCGTCGATGAACCCATCTCTGTTTTCATCAAAGACATCAAAAGCTTGTTTCACTTCTTCAAAGCTCGGCTCTTTCTCTTCAAACAAACTCAGAACCTCCTTGGAACCGTACCGTTCTTGAAGTCCCTGGCCGTGATCTTGTTCGGAGAAAAGTCCCAAACTTTTCATCACCATCTCAACATCTTCTCTGGAGAGTTCATCTTCATGTTTCGACAGACTCTGCTGTTTCTTGAACTCAAGCTCCTTGTTCTTCTTCTGGGTAACGCTTTGCTGTTGTGTAAGAGGCCAAAATCTAGAGAGAAAGCTCTGAGCTATCAAAACCCATCTGAAAAAACCGATGAGGAAAAAGTCGAGCAAACCAAACAAAGGGAGAGATGATTCTTCGCATCCCGACGATGAAGAAGCCTTATCCATGGCTAGAAAGCAGTGTAATTGGTTTACAGGCATAGATTGTTCTTCAAGTGCTGAACTGGAAGAGAAGATAAATGGTTTCAACAAAGAACTAACTGGTTTTGCAGGAGATGTTGAATATAGGTGATTGGGTTGGGGGTGTATATATATACACACATACATGTGTACATATCCATGTCGTTGTTGTCAAGGTGGGCGAGTTTTTCTAAGAGGCAAAAGGGAGGAAGGTGCAGCAAGAAGAAGAAGAAGCAAGAAACAAAGAAAGAGAGTTAAGAGGTAAAGTCAGTGAAAGAACAAAGGAAATTTCTTCAAGTTCCACAATATTCTTGGAGTTATGAGTTTTGTCTTATTCGGATGCAAGTTTGGTCAAGCCTAGATTTTTTTTAATAATTTCTTTCTTTTTTTATTTGATCAATATGATACAATTGTTTCTTACCATGATATTATATTTTCATACGGCATATAATGAATAATCACACGGTCCAAAAATTAAAACAGCTATGGAGAACATTGATATATCTATCATTAATGTGGACAAATTTTGAAAAAAAAAATGAAAATGAATGAAAAACTTGAATAAATTAAATATTTACAGAGACAAACAACTAAACTAATCTAAACAGTTGTATTCCACGGATATTAAAACATATTGTATTCTGATTCTAAATGAAATTAAATATTTCTTTCGTTTTTCCTTGACTTTTTTGACTGAGCATTTAGAATCAGAAGAGAATTGGTAAAACGATGGTGATTTATTACTATTGCATTTAAAATTCCTTTGTAGCTTCCTGGAAGTGAGGGAGTTAGTAGGCTGTAAATTCTTTTTTCCATTTACCACTATCTCGTTATAATGCATAGATTGCTTTATTTTCCTCTAATATTTAAAAAATCCATTAGTTATATATTGGTCAATATGAATATTATTTTCTAATTGTGAATCTATCAATGAAAGTTCCATTCAGTTGTGGGCATATTTTAAAATTATTGGTGGGCGTCGGTCCATTTTTTTTTTTGTTATTTCAGTTCCTTAATTGTATTACCAATCTATTGACAAAAGTTTTTTTATGAGTGTAATACGGAGGAACTTTCCTTTCAATTATTTTTTCTGTTCTCGTTTGTTCTTAAGCCCATTAAGCCTTATGGGCCTTTCAAGATATCTTTTTCGCCCTCTTGTTTTGGATAAATCCCATTTTGTATATTGTCGTTATATTTATTTGTTTTATAAATAAAATATAAGACAACTATATTAGCACAAAAAACTAAAATTTAACTAAAGAAGATAGATTATTAAAAATTTGCACAAAGCACAAGGTTTAGCAGAATTTTGTAGAAAGGAGATAATAATATCATTCATAATAAATATTTGAAAAAATGAAATTTTTCTATATAAATTTAATAAAATGTGTCATTTTCCATACTGACTTTTAATTTGATAAAAACCTATATCAAATTCACAAATTTTCCAAATCGATACACGAATTATTCAATTTAACTATGATTGGCGCATACCACCTGAAAACTTTTTGTCACGTCAACACGACACGTCATATTTAAAAAAATAAAAAATAAAAAATAAAAAATAAAATACATATATATTTATGTACAAATACAAATATAAATACATATACTCTTATATATAAATATATCTATATATACATATAAAATAAAAAATATATATATATATATATATACAAACAACTATACAAATATATATATATACACATATACATATAGACATACAAATACAAATATAAACACATATACTCCTATGTATAAACATATCTATATATACATACAAAATAACAAATATACATATATATATACATACATCTATACAAATATATATATACATATATATAAATATATTTATATAGATATATTTATATATATATATATAAATTTATATATGTGTATAGATGTATGAATATATATATATATATATTTTGGAATAATCGCATATAAATACCTGAACTTTTACAAAATTTCCAAATAAATAACTGAACTATAAAACTCTTAAATCAATACCTGAACTTTTCAAAACTTCCATATAAATACCAAACTTTTAAAAAACTTCGAAATAAAACTAAATTCCATAAACGCCGTTTAATTTATAACGTAATCCGATCACTTCGTCGATTAACGCCGTCAACAAAAATTGTTGTATTTGAAAGTTTTTTTAAAAGTTTGGGTAATTATATGGAAGTTTTGAAAAGTTCAGGTATTTATATGCGATTAGCTCTTATTTTTTTATTTTTTATTCGATTTTTTTTTTAAATCTGACGTGTCGTCATGACGTGACAAAAATTTCACGCGGTTAATTCGTTTCAGATTGTGTAGTTAATCGCAGTCAAATTGGGTAATTCGTGTATCGATTTAAGAAATTTGTGAATTTGGTGTAGATTTTTGTCAAATTAAAAGTTAGTGTAGAAAAATATCATTTTCTCTAAATATTTTAAAAACCCACGTTTCTATATATATATATATATATGTTTCCGTTCATATTTTTACCCCGCTGAAAAGAAAAAAAGAAGAAGGCAAAACAGATCATTATAAGAGATAACTCAACGATGAAAAAAATATAATTTTTATCGAGAAAAAAAGAAACATATATTTCATAAAGAGAAATAATGAAAGAAAAATATAAATGTTTGATTTAAAACCAGAAAAAGAAAACAAGAAATATGACTCAACAAAGACAACAAATTAAGAATGTCTAAATTTTCTATGTATTGACCATTGCCTTAAATGGAAAATTTCCAACCTTGAATTATTAGATTAAAATATTACAGATAAAATTAATCCAACGACAATAAATTAAGAATATTGCATTTCTCACATAGTTCTTCCACCAGCCATACCAATGGGAACAAAATTCACCAATTATGGTCGGCCACCCCAAATACTTTATTCTACCACAATTTGGGGTTTTCCTTTTATGGTACAATAACAAACTATCAATCTGCAAACCAAAACTCCCTCTATGTCAACCGTATATATATATATATGCGTATGTATGTGTGTATCACACAAATACATACGCATATATGTGTGCGTGCAGTGTGTGAGCGTGTGTGTATAGCTAAGCATATATGTACAAGAAAAAGAACTCACCTGCTTCCTTAGGACACAAGACGAGCACTCAAAACAATCAAATCAGCTGCTACGTTTCTTAGCTAAGATGTCTCTGTCTTCTTTCTTACGCACCTTTCCCCTCAGTTACGATCTCTCATGGAAGTTCATCGACCTTGACATGGCCGCCGGATTGGCTTGCAACACTGGCACCGGAGGCGATGAAGGGTTTTCCTTGGCTCGAGCACCTTTTTCCTTCTTTGATCTGAATGCCCTGAAAGTTTCCCCCTTTTCGTCGTTCTTGATCCCTAGTGTTTCCCAGATCGAGCTCTTGGCTGCTTCCTCTGGATCGTCGATCCTCAACGTTTTTGGAACCCATAGATATCTTTCGGGATTGCTCTTCTCTTTCGTTGATGGCTCGGTTTCCTTGGAACTGGTTCCTGGTTCGGCCGTGTTCTCGTCCCGTGAATGTTTGCCTAGTGTTGGAGAATTTGGACCAGACCCAGATGGTGAATTTGGCTGAGCCATCCACGGAAATCCGTTCCATGTGACTGGTGGAGCCCCCGGACAGCTCCAGTACGTGGGCGGTGGGTAAAATGGTAAAACTGTCCATGGAACTCCGTTCCAGGAATAAGGCCATGGTGGAGGTGCCGGAAAGCATGGAACTTTCGGCATTGAGCCGCTCGCTCCTGCCTCCTCACTTGGCGGGTTTGAAGATGAATTCACGTTATTTTCATAGGGGATTTGAATCTTCAAGCCTTCAGCTGGTTCATGGAACCCATTTCTTGTCTTTAGCATTGCTTTATCAGCAAGGTTCAAACCAGAAGCCATGGATTCACAGAGGAGTTGATCCGAGCCAAATGTGAGGAGATGGGTACCGTTCGGATGGTGAAGTTCAGTTCTTGGCTTCTGCATGGCTTCAGCAGATATGCTCACATGGCGGTTGAAGTGAGAAGCTGAGTTCTTGTTCTTACGGCGCCCAGCCCCCACAGGAACATTCCTCATCGTCCCACCAGCTGTCCAATATCTCTGGCAGTTCTTACAGAAGTGGCGGGGTTGGTTAACATTGTAGTTGTTGTAGTAGCAGAACTTAGTGTCCATGCTGTTGCAACGTGGGCAAGGCAGAATCTTGTCGGGTTTCTTTAACTTTGTCTCCTGAGAAGAAGCACCCGTCTCGTTCTGCGACTCTTCCTCTGCTTTTCCAGCTTGAGCTTTCGGAGTCTCCATTCTGTCAGTAAGCCCCGATTTACCAGAAGTAGCACCAGATTCCTGGATAGAGGACTCTCCACCATGCTCTTCTCCACGGCCATTAATGTTCTCCTCCTGCATTTCCTGAAACAGAATCCATAAGATCGATCATAAGATCTGTTAAAGATTTCTTGAAACTATTCTACCACATTGATGGATTTACTGGTTAATGGCTCAAAGGAGGAATCTTGGCCATAGGATTCATTAGGAACGGATTACAAAAAGAGATTTCCTTTACCTATGCAATGAAACAATCACAAGACATAAGATAGAACTCGGGTCATAACACAACATCTTTCACATAAACAATAAGTCAGGACCCAGAGGCAAATGAAAAAAATTCCATTGCATGTGAAAGATTATGCAACTCTTAAACCAAATCTCTCTGGAAAGTAACTTGACTTTAAACTCAGTGGTATGGTGGCATCATTGTTGTCAGAGAAGATGAACTAAAAGTTCGTGCTTACAGGAGCCTAAGACATATATAGCTCAAGACTTGTGATCTTGAGAACATAATTGCAAAACATGAACTCAAGAACTTTCTAGATCCAGACTTGTTAGCAGTAATCACTAGTTTATAGAATATGAAACTGACAGAACCAGCAGAGATGGGATTGTTCATGTCCTAAACATAATCCAGCATTTTCAACACATTAAACCCTAAATTTCTTCAAGCAACTCGATCACTTAGACGCAATCGCAGGTCGAAGACGGAAGCATAACGACAGAATCAAACCGAAATGGAATAACTTAAATCTCGAATCGCTCGATAAAAGTCTCATTCGAGAAATCAAGATTTACAATTTCTAACACAACGAATCGCCCAAAGCAGCAAAACCTAGTTCAACACAAGAATCCAAAATTAGAACAGACAAGGGAAAACATACGGTTCCGATCAATCAGACAGAAACCCATATTTCATTTCCCTGTAATAAATCATGGGTAATCCTCAAATTCGACAAAAGAAGCGATTTCACCAATCCAAAATCTTACCTTTTCACTCTCCCTCTCCTCGCCCCCGCAACCACCGTTACCTCCACCTCCGCCGCCGTCGTCACAGCCGTCATCGGTCGTGTTGTCTTCTCCGACAGACGAATCTGGCACCGAAGCAGGATCCTGATCACGGCGATCGATTAATCCTCCTCCGCCGGAACTGGAAACGGCACCAGACGGCGAAGCAGCAATCTCCGGCAACGGAATCGTCTTCCCGAACAGCTTGATCGCCGGGTCTGACATTTTTCCACTTCTCTCCCTCTCGCTGCGAGAAAAAATCGAAAAGTACAAACTTTGTAAAGAGAGAGAGAGGGACGACTGTTTTTGGTGGTGGTGTTGCGTTTCTTTTTTTTCCTTTTTTGTTTTTAATTGATTAATTTAATTTCATGTTTTTCCTTTTATTTTTGTTCTGGCGAGAGAAAAAAAAGAGAGATTACAGTGTTGCTTTCTCGTGAGTTCTGAGGGTTTTTGATTCGTCGGGGACGCCACGTCAGCAGGCAGGATGATTCTCAGCCACAAGTTTTTGTATTAAACATAAAAGGATCCTTTTTTTTCCTTTCTCATTTCCATGTCAGCACCTTTTAACTTTTTCTCCTATTTTTTTTCCATTTTATTTATTTATTCGTTTCCCTTTTTTCCTCATTCCTTCTTATCTCATGGGATAAATGCGTTATATTGAATATATTGTATTTTTTTCAAACCTGTCAGATCTCGATAAATTGAGGAGATATATATTTAATTGATGCAAATATAATAAAAATTGTTTAAATATATATATTTGTGTGTGCACTTTGCGATTTTAGAGATATATATTCATGGTTACTAACTAGCTATGATCTATAAACTATTAAATTTGTAACAAAAGTTTTGATAAGTACAGGGAGCGAGTGATTTATTTATTTATTTTTCATATTTATTGTATGCTAACCATGATAAAATAGAGTTTTGTGTAAGGTACAAAAATCCCCATATATGAATGGAATAATCATCCAGAATGTATTTTTATGTGACCGAATTAAATTTATATACTTTCACATTATTTTCCCTCCACAAATATGTTTTTTTTCTTCTCTTTTTTTTTATATGTTATGGTTAGAAGAAATATAAAACAAAGATTTTATTTCGCCCCTTCTTTATTATTCTTTTTTTTTTGTTTGTGGGTTGGTCACAGACTTTTGTTGTGGATGAGATGTGAGTTGACCCATCTGTCAAAATTATGGCTTTGCATTTGTAATTTTCGCAGTATATTATTTGATATAATATGTCCCACTTCCATATATCAACACCCTCACTTTTCACGAGGATAAATATTTAATATTTTGAGCAGATTCTAATCCTCCAAATTCAACAAATGCATGTCAAATACTATCAATAATATATGCACACGATAAATATACAGGGGATTATGAATTTATTTAAAAATAACATGGATATATATATATATATATTGATAATTTACAAATTCATCGGATCTTTAGTCCGACTATATCTCTCAAACGATAATATTTTTTTTCCACATTTAAATCTGAATCTATAATAAAAACATGTTTTATATATTTTTTAATCACTAAATCACCTGCATTAGATAATTTAAACATGGTTGAGTCAGAGACATTTTATTTCATGTCCTAGAGACCTAGAGCTTTTTTTTTTTCTATATACGAATAAAAAGTCTTTCTCAACGCCAATTATATAATTTTATTTTAAAATATATAATATTATATTGGGGAAATATCCCGAAATCGATATCTGTGGGCTAAAGATGAGAAAAGTATGGCTTAAGTTGCGATGAATGCCAAGTGGAGTTGAAAAGTGCAGTGTGGATAGGAATGTGGTTCCTTTTCGCAGGACTTCCCAATAATATATTTGTTTATTTTGTCCTTTTAATATAAACAATAATCTATAATTGCCATAAAAACAATTAAACATTATTTTTATTTATTCTAGCTGGCAGCGGCACGGACTTATAGTATAATATATTTCCAATGTGCGAAATAAGTACGAATGTTTCTTATCCTACTTGTCCGTTAATTTTGTTTAGATGTGACGATGAGATCATCTTAATTATTATCAACGAAACGTGTTCATAACTTGAAAGAAATCCAGTCTTTTACAATTTTAGAATAAATAATTAAATATTATTCTTTTATATATCCTAGTTCATCCATTATCGAATTTATGTATTATATTTCTTCGAGTTTAATATTTCATATTCATTATCTAGGGATTTTTCTCTTTTTTTTTTTTTTTTTTTTGCTCACGAATGTTAAATTTAGTATCAAGTAGGGAAAAAGCCCAAAATTTCAATATCCAGTAAACCATCGGTAAAGCCACGTCAGCATTTATTCGCAGCCTCCCCGACCACCAAACTCGAGTTCCCAATCGTCAGACACGTGTCACAAAAAGTTTAGGTTAAAAAGGCAAAAAGCCATGAAAACGACATTTTATCTACTTGTGGCTGAGATTTTCCCGTCCACGTTGAATAAAGAAATAAAAAATTTGGCAATCTGCCACGTGTCATCATATGATAAGGCCATAGCTATTTCCACGGCCCCGATCGGATAAGCCTTTTCGGCTTATATATCCAATATCTGAAACGTTAAGAATCTCGAAACAACCCACACTTTATAATTATTTCTCACATTTACCCCCAAACTTTCAGTTTCAAAAAAGAGTCCAATTTATTTATAATGGGCCAAGATTTATATATGGGCCTATATCGGGCCTTTTAACCGACACCCTCCATGAGTCGGTAGGGGTCGACGGAAGATTGGAAATGACCAGTTCGATTGGGATTTTGGAGGACAATTAACAAAAGCTTCTTCGAAATTCCACTCTTGGGATTTAGCTTCTTTGATTTCTGGTTAGGGTTTATTTTTGAGGTTCGTGGATCGATCTCTTGCTCGATTTCTCGCTCGCTCGACAGAGTCACCCGCCATCGGGTAGATTCGAGCTCGGGAAATCCATGGATTCTTCGCCGGGTTCGGGCCGATTCGATATCTTCGAGATATACCGGCGATTTTGCGGTACTCTGTCTTGTTTTGCCACTAATCTCGCGTGGTTTATTCATCGATCTCTTTAAATTCGTGTTTTTCATGTTTGGAGCTCTGTCCTGTTGCCGGGTTTTAATACCCCAATAATGTCATTTTTGTTGAAGGGGAGAGTTGTGGCTATTCTAGGCTGGATTTTTTTTTTAATTATGTATTTTCTTACCCTTTTTGTCTGTAATTTGTGGAAGCTTAGCTATGTTGATCGTAACATTGTTGATTTATGGTTGAATTCTAGATTCGTTGTCTGAATTCCCTGACCCAAGACTGCAATCTCCGGAGTGCTTTGTTTAGTACTTAAAGACAGTTTTGGTTGATAAGAGATCCTTGATTCGATTTTCTTGCAGGGAAGTAGATTTTCTTGTTGGGTTTGATTCAGTTTCACTCTCACGGCTATGAAAATCTGCAAATTGTGTCAGTTGAAAGATATCCATACATTGAGGATGGATTATTGGTTGAAATATTTGATAGGCCTCATACTTTCTATTTGTGAATTGTGATATTCGTGCAGACATTAGATCAGGGAAGGGAAACATAACTGGTCAACAAGACTATAAACCCGGCGAGGAATCACATAAAGCTAACTATTCTAAGGAAGCACTAACTCAGCTCTTGAATCAGGTCGAGACAAAATTTCAAGCAAGGTACTTTCATCTCCAGTCTAGTCTCTTACTAGACTGTTTTTATACTTTTTTTATGATCATGTAATTTGCTTGGTATCATCAATTCTCATGGAGTTTGAATGGCTTTTTTCTGATTTAGTATGTTTGGCTTTTTTTTTTTGGAACGAAAGATTCTTGGCTTATGCACCCATTTGAGTTCTTTCACATGTGCATGCGTGACAGGTTCTCCATTTTTGACGAATTATTTAAGTTGATGTCACGTCTGGACTTAATGGTAAGTTTTCATCCCTTCAAAAATTTCGGATCAAACATGCGCAGTTCCTTCTACTCTCCTTTTTTACGCTTTTCTTTATAACTAGGTATGACCCATGCTATGCACTGGTTAGTTAATTAGTGGATCGAAAACATATAGAATTTGTAAGGGGAAAAAAAGAATGGTTAGTAATGGAAGGTCAATGAATGAAGTTTATCTACCATTAATCTAAAAGTGTATGTTGTTTGGAAAGAGGATCAAAGGGAGAAGTTGCAAGAGAGACAAAAAGAGGAACTCGAGAGATGCTTTTACTGATGATTTCTTCGTTTTTCACAAACTGGGGATCGTTCCCCTCTTTATGCCTCTCTCCTCACTCATTTTCCTTCAACTCCCCCAAGTATACACCACTTTCTTCTAAATGCACGTTGCATATCTTCTGCAGCATACCCACATCTTTAACTGTGTAGTTGCATTGCATGTCTCCAGCGTCCTAACTGCTACACTAGGCACTTCCTTTTTTGTGGTTGCTATTGGGCTGATGTTGGTTTTAGGCAGACTTATTGTTTACCAATCATATGTCGTAGTAGGAAGTTAATGTGTTATTGTTTATGGTAGATTACTAGATGACTATTTGGTCTGACATTTCCTCTGTCCTGTTTGTAGGTGGATTTTTCTGAGTTTTCCCGTGTCTATGATTTTGTTTTCTTCATGTGCCGTGAAAAAGGACAGAAGAATATAAGTAAGTTGGTTTTCTTCGAGATTCGTTTGGTCTTTCTCCTGTGTTTTGATCTGTTAGTGTGTCTTTTGACCTGTTGTTGTCTTGAAATGTTGTGTCAGCTGTGAGTAGGGCAGTTACTGCGTGGAAACTGGTTTTGGCTGGGAGATTTCGGTTGCTTAACCAGTGGTGTGACTTTATCGAGGTAGAGATTATATAATGTTTATAGCAATGAGACATCGTTTGTCAGTTCTGTTTTCGCATTGAAGGCATTTGTTTTGCATAACGATTAAAATGGTGATCAACGGAACCTTGATGTCAGATAATAGGGCTCCGGATCTTGCTTAGACAATAGGGTTCATGTTCCTTGATTTTTTTTTCTTCTTCTTTTGTAAAACAAGAAAAAGTTGATCTTTTTAATTTATGGTAGAGAAATCAGAGGCACAATATATCTGAAGATACTTGGCAACAAGTATTGGCATTCAGCCGTTGCGTACACGAGAATCTTGAAGGATATGACCCGGAAGGTACTACTACTAATTGTTATTTTGTCCAAAACATTATTGGATTAGGGTTTCGGTTTTATTTATTTCTCGCATGTAGGTGCTTGGCCTGTCCTCATTGATGAGTTTGTCGAGCATATGTACAGGTTTGTTCAATAGCAAGATTTTATCCATTTTCAAGAGTTCAAATTTATAAGATGACGTTTTTATCGATGGCTGCAGCATCTTCGGGTCCAAAACCAACAGTGGCGTTGTCTGCAATTGCAGCGAAGAGTCTCATTCGTGGCGATACGAAGAATCTCTTCCTGGTACATGCGCATGAACTTGCATAAAAACAATCTCTTATAAGGGCATCGTAAAAAAAATGCATCTTTTGAAGTTTTTATCATCCAATGAAGGTTTAAGAAACATCCCGGGTCTGAAACGAAAAGCGACAGAGGAAGAAGAAGGAGAAGAAGACATGGAGCTGTCAGAAACCCTAAACTCGTCGCCATACTCGAAAAGAATCAGACCTACAAACAGCCCGAGTTGTTCGTCAAAGTCTCAGTGTATCGTTGACCATTGTCTCTCGAAAGGGTTCGAGGAGCTTTTAACGACAACTAGTTCTTGTTTGCAGATTGGTCGGAAACACAGATCTTCTTCATATACGTGAGAAAGAGAGAGAGAGAGAGAAATCCAAGAATTTTTTTTTTTAATCATCTCATTAGATTCTTCTTTTTTCCCTTTTTAACCTCCCCCAGTGTAGTCTTTTGAGTGTCTCGCTTGTTGTCCGAGAAGATATTTGTGTCCCTTCATCACAAAATTCACAAGCATTTGTGTGTGTGTGTATGTAAATTTTTTTTTATATCATTTGTCTAAAATAAATAAATCTATTAGTTCATCACAAATCTCCAGAGGGTACGAAGGAAGAGGGCCAAAACGCACAAACGGAAATGGTTTATTATATGGAATAGCGTCACAGATCAAAATACATAAATACACATTATACCAGTTAACAATAATTGTATTCCTATATAAAAAAAAAATCTAAAAATCATTATAAGGAACTATAAACGTAATCCGTAAATTGGTAGAATGCATAATCAAGCGGACATGCATCCAATGCCATACCTAGTGGTCGGAAAGACAAGGAAGAGAGCACTGCACACAATTCCGACCATCAACGGGAAACTTTCCATAACTTGCTCCATTTCCTTCTCTTTCCCAGGAAACAAACACCCTGTTACCCTTCTGTCCGAAAACGCAATGGCCATGAACACCATCACGCTCATCACCGCGTGCACCATATCGTTCACCCTCAACTTGTACCTCTCATCGTTCACTGGAATCTCCGCCGTATCTCCACCGCCGCCGCCTCCGATCTCTTCCGGAGGTGGCGGTGGCGGCTTCATGAACACCGCAAGTCCTTTCGGAGGCACGAACCCGTAATAGATCTTCCCGTCGGCAGCTTTGTAACTGTCCGTGAAATGGAACAAGAAGCAAGACATAGCGCAGAGGACTAAGAGGAGATTGATCATGAGCGTGTTAACGCCGTTACACTCTCCGTCACGGTAGATTGACGGCAGAACCATCTCGAACATTAGGAGCGTTCCCGTCGGGAGGAAATTGACGAGCATCGACGTCTTCGAGACGGTTTTCTGGACACCCTTTGCCACCATCCGGCGTTTTCTTCCGGCTCCGGGGGTAAGCGACGGCAGTGAGGAGATCGGAACTGGCTTCGACGGTGACAGTTTCTGCGGCGGAGTTGCCGTGTAAACTCTGATTCCGACACTTTCCTCTGTTTTCTCCATAGTGCTCTGTTTCTTTTTATGATCCGATTAGATTAGTGTTGTAAAAGTGAATGATGATTGTATTATGTATAAGTGTGTGTTGTTTTTCAGAAAAGTTAAACGACGGTTGTTGGCGGTTTATCGACTCAAGTCCTTTCGGAGTCACGAACCCGTAATAGATCTTCCCGTCGGCAGCTTTGTAACTGTCCGTGAAATGGAACAAGAAGCAAGACATAGCGCAGAGGACTAAGAGGAGATTGATCATGAGCGTGTTAACGCCGTTACACTCTCCGTCACGGTAGATTGACGGCAGAACCATCTCGAACATTAGGAGCGTTCCCGTCGGGAGGAAATTGACGAGCATCGACGTCTTCGAGACGGTTTTCTGGACACCCTTTGCCACCATCCGGCGTTTTCTTCCGGCTCCGGGGGTAAGCGACGGCAGTGAGGAGATCGGAACTGGCTTCGACGGTGACAGTTTCTGCGGCGGAGTTGCCGTGTAAACTCTGATTCCGACACTTTCCTCTGTTTTCTCCATAGTGCTCTGTTTCTTTTTATGATCCGATTAGATTAGTGTTGTAAAAGTGAATGATGATTGTATTATGTATAAGTGTGTGTTGTTTTTCAGAAAAGTTAAACGACGGTTGTTGGCGGTTTATCGACTTTAAACTCCAACGGTCATGAAGTCGAGGGCAAAAATGGTATTTCCCAAGCCAACTTCCCGTACCATGATAACTGTACGGTTTTGGGCTTTGTAGGCCCATCCAAACTTGATTCACCTTTCTCCGTAATGGGCCCTCGAAGCACTAAGTTTGGCCCATATATAAAATTGAAGGGGCCTATCATGGGCTACATGTATGAGCAATTGCTGTCAAAATATCAGAATTTATGCGAAAAGAGTCGTTTTCTTGGTAGTAGAGCGCGACGGAAATTCGGCGGCCGCCGGCGAAGAAACTAATCTCCGGGATCTATGGCGGTGAAACTCTAAGAGTCTTTCGGTTTCCTACCCCTGGGCTCTTCTTCAATCACTGGGTAAATACATTTCTCTTCTCGTTCTTAGGGATTTACGATGTTTTTAGCTTCTGGGTTTTGCAAAATCTTAATCGAAGTGAGGTGAGAACTGGGAAACTTAGTTTTCAGGGTTTTTTTTTTATTTATAGATTTATGTGTATCGATTCATTCGTGTCTCTGGATGATGCATTTGGTAGGATTTGCTTGTCCTTGAGAGGTTTCATGTCTCTGTGTTGGAGCTAGTCATTCTCAGTTGGTTATAAAAGGCTTGTTTCCACCAAAACTATGAGAAAGACTCTGTATTGAAGTCATTTGCAATTTTCCCAGAAGACGAAGTTTCTTACTTTTGTAGTAGTTAACATGGTAACGTTTCCTTAATGGTGAAACCACCATCTTTTGCAGCTAAGAGTGGTTAATACCGTCGAATTAATAATGGAAAGCCCTAAAGAAGAGCCAGTCGTTTTCTTGGACCGTGCTGCTCGAGCAACACGGGGTCAACGGTAAGAATCAGTCGAGGATGAACCCTTTGTTTTTTCATCTCTCGATGTGACCTGTGAAGTTTGTTCTAGAAAAGTTATGCGCTTCCTCATGATATATGCAATTGTTATCGACATCAATCTGGTTGTTGTTTGCAGGATGACCAAGTTGCTTGATGATGAGATAGAAGAGGATGAGTTGTTTTGGAATCAAGAAGCTCTCAAAGAGGTGCTTATATTTATTTCTGTGTTTCGAGTAGTCATAGAAATGATTTCCAGTAGTCTAATTTGAAATAAAATGGAAATTTTGAACTTGGGGATTGGGATGACAAGGAACAATGAGAAGTATAATATCTGTTTAAGATGTGAAGGTAAATAATACCATGCTATCCAGAATGAACAAGTGTCATTTACATCATTTACTATTGTCTATTGCTGTCTGCAGGATGAAATTGATGAGAACTATGAAGAGGAACCTGAAGTTGCTGATGTGTTTGACAGCGACTTTGATGAAGATGTAAGTATTTTGCATGTTGTGGGTATTTCCAGCTCTTACACAACACTTGTTGTCACACCTAGTAAAATTTTCATTGTTCCATCTTTACTTGTTTGGAATAGGAGCCCGATCCTGATGAAGAAGTGGAAAACGAAAAAGAAGAGAGGTTTGCTTCATCAAGATAGTGCTTCATATGATTGGTGTTGTAGCTCTTTTCGCTCTCTTAGAGATTTATATTTTTGCAGGGAACGGCCAAAGAAGCGGTTGTTTTTCCCTGGGAAGACTTTACCGAAGAAAAAGAAGAAAAAGAAGGCAGTCTCGAAATTAGAAAACACTCCCGAGGATGAGAAGGCAGCTGAAGAGTCTGAAAATAAAGAACAAGATGTGAAAGAACAGAATGAAGCACGAGAAGATGTGGAAGGCGAGAGGGTCATTAGGAAATCTACACGAACTTCAGTGATTGTAAGGCAAGCAGAGAGAGATGCATTGCGTGCTGCTATACAGGCTACAACGAAGGTTTGATAGAAATCTTTTGCTGGGCATGCTTTTTAGGGATTTTAAGGCTTTGTGTGGAACAGAAAATTAACCGATTACTTCCTAGCTACTTTAGGGTTCTTGGTTGTTAATTAAATTCAAACCCTTTTCAGTTTAGTGTGCTGAATTTATTTTCTGTTTGTTCAGCCAATACAAAGGAAAAAAGTAGGTGAGGAGAAACGGATGACCCAAGAAGAAATGTTGCTGGAAGCTGCTCAAACAGGTTTTGGCTTTGGATCCTGCATTGTGTTGATGATTCTCTTCTTGGATTAGAAACTTAACGCTTAAACGTTTTTGTTGCAGAAATCATGAACTTAAGGAATCTAGAACGCGTCTTGGCCAGGGAAGAAGAAGTCAAGAAGAAGGCAATAGTGCACAAAGCTGTCTACAAAGGTCCTCAGATTCGGTATCTTTCGAGAAATGGTGAGATCCAATGAATTAACTTCCCACTGTTTTGTTCATTTTAGACATGTCTGAACCTTTTCTTTAATCAAAATAACTGACTTGTAGGGTGCAATTATCTGGAATTCTGTAATGGTGCTTCATTTAAGTCAGATTTATCGATGAAATCGGTTCCATGTAAGATAATTTCGCCCCTGTAATGGTGCTTTACGTATATGATTATATCCATATGGATATCTGTCTATGTGACTCTCAAGTTCTCTCTTTTTCCAGATCCCGAGAAGGCTATTTGCGCGATTACAGGATTACCTGCCAAGTAAGAACTTGTCTTCTCTGTTATTTACCTTTGGGAGAAAAAGTGACACGTTATTTCTGCAACTAAATTAATGAGGGCCTCTAAAAAACCATATTCCTGGCTGAGTTGAGCTTCCTGATTTTTGTTCTGCAACATCTGTTTGATGCTACATAAACTAAAGGTTCTGTGTGCTCGTTTACGAAATGGGGTTTTCTTCATATTCTGAGTGGTGAGAGAATTGTTCTTAGAAGCTCCATAAAAACCCAGTTTTTTTCTCATTTGTGTAGTTGTTTCTGGACGATACAGGTACCGAGATCCAAAAACTGGTCTTCCTTATGCAAACAAAGAAGCTTTTAAAGCAATTCGTGATAGGTGCATCTTCAGTTTCACTATGGAATTTGTGTCCTTTTTTTCTGTTCCCTTTGACACGTGAAGAGATTCTTGGCCATTCTATCGATTTCATCGTTTTCTTACACTGGTTACCTGATCTAAAGACATGATTTTTAGATATCCGCTATTAAGTCTGATATGTTCCAACGTTTTGGTTGTGAAGGTTACTCGATGAACATGAGGGTGGGAGAAAGAAAATGGAGATGGGAGACTTGTTTGATACCCTCTCGGGTAAAGGTTTCATGGCCAAACAGAAGAGATCAAAGGTTCCGAATAAAAAGGAATCATTTGTCTTCCGTAGCTCTGCACGCTTCCTCAGGTTTCAGTCTCCGGAGATCGAAGAGATTTCAGAATGATATAACTGGGTATTTTTGAGAACCTTTCTTTAAAAATAATGAGCATCATATATCCAATCCATCAATACCCATCTTGCCTCATTGTACTCACTGTAACATCGTGTTTCTCAGCATCAGCATTCGTTCGTTCCCATGAATCACTTGGACCAAAGCATTCACATTTCTTCATCGACCTGTTATCACAGCAAGGTGCGTCTTTTATACACATACATGCATGCATGCATACATACATACATGTCACACTTTTCATGACCGTCACATACACTGTTGACAATAGGATATAGAACTTACACCCTTCATCTAGAAACTATTTAGGGGGGGTTCTATCTTTCTTTTTGTTCATCATGATATCCTCCTCACACCACGTAGCTTGAATGAGAAAGACCCCATCCATGGCTTGAACCAGCTTGCCGGTGTCACTTGGCTGCAGATAATGTCCCGACCCGACCAATGCTCCCTCCTGACATATTTGATCAAAACTAACTTGTCAAATCTCTAACAATGCATGGAAACGTTTTCTTAACCGCTAGCATTAGAAGAGAGATCATCTTTTGTAGCTTTGTAGATTACAAAGTTGTGATCTTTTGTACGAAACCCTCTCTGAATCTCTTTTGTTTTTCGATTAAAAAAAAATGGTATCTTTGGTTTGCAGAGATGGCGACAGACAGCAGAATGCGGTGAAACATCACAGAAAATCTCCATAATCAGAGTGCTTGACAGACGACGTGTTTTATCTGTCGGATTTCTCAGCTTCGCCGCGTAAACTGGAACATGAAGATCAGATTTATTTTTCAGGTTATATGTATTCAGCGAAATTAGATGTATTAATTAGAATGAAAACCGGCAGCAATATTCATGAACAGTAGTGGGTTCTCTCCGTATGATTATGTAAAACCCAAGTGTAATAACCGTCATTAATCATAATCATGACAAATACATTGGGCCCATATTAATTCAGCTAGCTTTTGGATCACGGTGCAATATTTATCCGACGCGCAGCTATGAACGCGTAAACTACACGCGCCGATACAATGTCATATCAATTATCAATACCTCTATTTATTTTAACCTATTAACGTATGCAGTTGGGCTCCCAAATACCATAAGAAAATATCTCAATTCATCAAAATAATATCAAATCACTCGTTTATCTACGACGTTGAACCATGACATCTTCAATTGGTGGATAGAACCAAACGCAGGAATTTCCACGTAACAGTCAGAAATATGATGACGTGGCAAACAAAGTGTCGACACATCATCGTCCACGTCAATGCTTCCTTGAGCCTCTGTAATAAAAGCTTTTTTTTTAACACATTACAAAGGACAAAAGATGCGGCTTTCTTCCTCGTCTTAACTCGAGAGGAAAACTTCATAAATATGTATATGATATTTTTTTTACATGTAGCGGATGATGTGATTCAAGTTAAGCAGAAGCTTTCTCGCAAACAGCAAAGCTTCTGGGATTGATGGTGATGCTCTTCGTGCAGTTATCTGTTTTGTAGATTCCGACCAACCTATCCGCGAGCTCGAACATGTTGTTTCTGAGACTGCATGTCAGAAATTTCATCATGGTTTCAGAACCGTTACCATAAACGGTTAAGAGATTTTTTTTTTGCAGTTCATGGATATAAAAAAAAAACAGACCCAGATGCCAAAAACATGAACACCAAGGTTGGCTCTTGATAGCATAGGTAAGTTTTAACCGAACCTTAAACTTTGATCCTATTATTGAAATCTATGACATTAGATGAATGATGCTAATGCCCTAAGCTCAATATCATCGACATAAATGTCAATAGATGCTAATGGGGGGGGGGGATTCGGAGGAGTCATTGGAAATTGACTATACTGTAAACTGACCTAATGATAATGAACTGAGCATCCTTTGTGCGGTCCTTCACGTAATGCCCCACAATCGACACGTTCTTGAAGTCTAGAACAAGAAACCAGAGGAGTGAAATTTTAGAAAGGAAAAAAGAAACGTGACTGATAACCAAGGAAAATGGGGTCTTTGCAGGAACAGAGGGAGAGGGTTTTACCTAGAGCAGCGTCGATCTCATCCATGACGTAGAGCGGGGTGGGCTTGTAGTGATGAAGTGCAAAGACAAGTGCTAGTGAACTAAGCGTCTGTTATCAGACCCCAAACCCCAAAGGCGATCGGGAAAAATTAAAGTGAGAATCTTGAGAGTCTAGTGAAATGAAATGTAAAGAGGATTTGCAGTGAAGACCTTTTCGCCACCCGACAAGTTTGCAATGTTCTTCCAGCTTTTCTTGGGAGGTCTTACACTGAAAACCACGCCTTCTGAAAATGGATCTAGCGAGTCAACCAGCTCCAGCTCTGCATCACCTCCTAGAGTGATCATCTGCAGCATTATGTCGGTGACAATTGTGAACGAGGATAAATATACCATATAGCTTCATTTACAAGACAATGCGCACCTGATACATTTCCTTTAGCTTCAAAGATATTGTGTTAAATCCAGCCATAAACTCATCCAACCTGAAGTTCCAAATGCATAAAATGTCCACGTTGAGATGAGTTTCAGGAGACCATAATAGAACAAGGACTAAGAAAAATGATAAGAGTTAGAAGTCTATGCCTTCTCTTTCTCAATTCATCATATTGCTTCTTTAAGTCATCACGCTCTTGGGTTACTGTATTAAGTTCCTCAACCCGACCATTGTACAGTTCTACTTTTCTCCGATACCTTGAAAGCATTCAGAACTATCAGTGAATAAAGCTACAGAAACATGGATCAAAACCTGTAGGGTAAAAAGACCAACTAGATTCTTACTCGGCGATTGAGTCGAGATTTGGATTCAACTCTTTCAGCTGCGCTTCCAATAAGGAAACCATTTCAAGTGCCCTTCCCAAATCACAGTTGTTGTTCAGGTTATCATCTGCAAGTGCTGCTTGAAGCTTGTCTGAGTCAACAAGATCTTTCTGAATTCTGCAATCAAGATTTATTGTGCTTTAGATATGTGTGATATAGAAATCATGATACAGGGTACTTTGCCAGACATACTGTTCCATATGCTTTTCAAGCGCAGTCTGAAGGTCACTGAGTTTCTTCTTGTAGCCCTTCTCCTTCATTTCTAGTTCATTGTGCTTCTTTTTCATGTCTTGGAGTCTGTACTCTGCATCAACCTGCATTCAACTAAGTTATTAGATTATATCAAGTGAAACACAACCATACAGAGACCAAAGAAAGGTATATTCAGTTATGTTACCCGAGACGCCTTCAATTCGTCCACAGACTTCTTCAGTTTCTCATAATTAGATTTCGCTCCAGCCAGCACGTCTTTGTGATCATCCATCAACTAAATGCAAGAAAGATTGCTGTAAGACCATTATCCAAATCATTTCCATATGGTAGAGATGTGGGCTGCCACTACCTTTTGTGTTTCTTTGTACTTCTCTTGAACTGTAAATGCTTTCTCTTCAATTGTTTTGAAAGCTTCTCGCAACTTCTCCTTTTGACCCTCTAGCTTTTCTTTTTCTCTAGTCATGTCTTCAATCCCCTTTGTCAACTTCTTTATCATCTTCTGGTTTGTTTCTATTTGAACATTGCAGCGATTGATCTCTGTACTGTGTTTGTCAATATCCTATGCAATCACAGCATTGGTCAGGACAAACCCTCAATACTGTAGTAAGCTCACAAACAGAATCTTGAGATTATGCAGACTTACAGATTGGATCTTCTCAACCTTTGCTTTCTGAGCTTTTAGTCTTTCCCCACCAGCATTTTCTATTTTGTTTTGCAGCTCGGAAGCCTAACAACGAAACTCAGTAGGCGTAAATGCAGTGATTTTGCATACAGGATGCTGAAGGATATCGAACAGAACAGTCATCTACTTATCTAATTTATAAGGAAAACTCGCGAGTTCACACAGCTAGGAAAGACAAAAACGGGAAGGACAATATCACTGAATTACAAATGATACTACACACCTTATCCCTCAGTTGTTTAGAGCCCTTTTCAAGTCTTTCGATCTCTTTTTCTTCTACTGAGATAATTCTTTTTAGCTCTTTAAGCCTGTCTATCTCATCCTTCTTTGGCTGAGATGCAGCTTCAAGGGAAGATAGTTGTTTTTCAATGTAACTGTGCTCTGAATTGAGACTTTCAATCTGAAACGGAAACATTTGATGGCATTAGAAGCCAAATGACCACATAATAACTTGGAAGAATTAAAGGCCTAACAAAATTGCACCAGATCATACCTCTTTTTGACTCTTCAACAGTTCCATCTCCAGTCTAGAAACTTCTTTTTCTGCAGCTTGGTATCGCCTCACAGCATCACCGATCTTTTCATGGATGTTGCTTAGCATCTCAACGATTTTGGAGAGCTCCTTCTCAGCAGTAGCAACAGCTTCTCCAGATATGCCAGTGGCTCGAATAGATGTTCCCATTTTTCCCCCACGTGGCTTGCTTCCTCCTCCACTCATGGTACCAGATTTTTCAAAGAGAGAGCCATCAAGAGTCACAACTCGCCGAAATTCTTTGTTCCCACCATATGCTATACGAGTTGCCTAATGTGCAAAATAAGGCACATTACAGACTCAGCTATGAGTCCACCAGTGGAAGCACATAGAGATGAACATTAAAAGAGCAGTGGTGATTGGAGTTTTATATTTCATCTGCATTTTGTTGGTGGAGCCAAATTCACCATGTCTTTAGAATTCAAGTACTCTCAAATCCCTCAGCTACTGACCAACAGCCTTAAATTGTATAACAAACATGTTACATATTATACCTGATCGAGATCCTTAGATACAACAGTATTACCCAAGGCCGCAAAGAAAGCGAGTTTCATCCTCTCGTCCTTAACTCTAACAAGATCAAAAAGGCGGGGAACTTCCTCAGGAGTCCTCACTTTCTCCTTTGATTTCTGTAATAGACCAGTTTGCTTCTCCTGCAAACAAACATGGTGGAAAAAATAACCACAAGAACATTGACTAGTACCTACTTGTTAATCGAATACCATTCATATACCACATAAGCATCTACTCACAGAACCACATATACAATTTCATTTGTTACTTCGACTCCAATTGAAAAGATTTACAATTCAAGAGTAAATAAACTCCGCTCTCTTAACTCAACAAACTCAAATTTAGTTCTATAAATTCAAATTTTCACCTCTCTCAACTACTTTATATCCATAAACTCAGATTTTGCAATTCTCTAATCTCACCTCTATAACCCCTATAAATCAAATTAACTACCTAAACTCTCTTAATTCAATTGGTTACCATTTGAATCCATTGACTTCAAACAGCAATATCTTAATCTAAAGATCAATCATTTACTAAAACATCTACACTTTTGCAAAGATTGTGGAAAGAACTCCAGTTAGACCATTATGCTCCTTCGCTTCCGAAGTCCACAAATACAAATAGGAAAAAGTATGCAATACCAATATCATGAACGTTGCAACCCCAAGATTTTCTTTCCGCAGAAGCTCAACACATGCCTGTGCTGCAGCAGTTGTTTCCACAACAATATAATCAAGTCCTGGGCAGGCTGTCGATATGGCGACATCATATTTTGCTGCAACGGAAACTCATTAGGCGAAATATTGTCTAGTCATATCTGATTAGCTTACCAAGCAACTATGTAGCTACAGTGTAACTCATTAAACACTAGCTCTATGTTACTTAATAGTTCAAAACAAACGCAACCAACCTAAAAGTGATTATGCTCATGGTGTGAAAAGATACATCAGAGTAACAATGCTCACCATCAATGGCACCTAAGTCTCCCATCCTTCCATATATTCCTTCAATTTTATTGGTCTCCTTGGCTCGTAAAATTGCCTTTAAAACATTACCCTGACTCTTCTCCGAATCCATTGCTGATTTCAGCTCAGCAACTTTTTCTCGTGCAGCCTGTTCTCGTGGAATAAGTGATTCTTGATCTCTAAGACATTCCTGCAAAAAGTTACGAAGTGTTATTTCAGTTTCGACATCTAATTAGGAGAATGAGATTAATGTAGGCGTCCTGGAAAGAAAACCTCTTCTACTTTCCGAGTTTCCACTGCTTCCTGCTGCTGCTTCTCTAAATCAACTTTCATAGATGCAATTGCTGCAATTTTTTCTTCAGTTTTACCTGATATGTCAGACAAGTGCTTCTGAGCATCTGTGACGGCTTTGTGCGCAGCTTCATGCTACAACAACAAAACAGCTGCATCAAGACAGGCACAGAAAACAGTCTTTCAAAGCTAAATTTGATGGTTTCACCAAAAACTAGAATATGCAGATTGCAGACTTGGATACAATAAACAGCCTTGCATAAAGCAGCTCAAGTTTAGTAATGAAAACTTTTCCAGAATAATTTTGTTTTACCAAGATAAGCTAATTTGCCACCAGGAGAAAACAAACTTAACAGTGAACATTATGCATATTGTCATCAGCAATTGAGCCATACCTTCTCATTCAAGAGCTGGCTTTCAGATGATGCAACGTCAAGCTTCCCCTTATGAGCAATTAGATCCTTTTCCCATGGTTCGAGTTCAGCACGAACCTTTGCAAGCTCAGACCGGTAACCTTCAGTTTCAACTGCAGACCAAATAGATAGAAACAAACATATGACATCAATAATCCGTTGAAAAGTCTACTCAGCTACCAAGATGTAAAAGCCAACAGTATACATGTTATTGTACAAATTCTCCTTGTACTCTTTTATGAACACAGACAAATATTGGCAATAACCTAAATGTGCAACTAACTCATAAGAGATATTAGTTAACAAGAGAACTCTTAGAAACTCAATTTCCCCCATTCTCTTCTTGTTAGGTGAACATTCAAGGAATAGGTTACAAATTCATCATCCATATAGGCATACGATCCTATCAAGTTCGAAAGACATAACTATATCAACACCTTTAGATTTCTCTTTGATTTCATCCAAAGTTTTCTCCTCATCAGACAGGACCTTCTGAAGCTTTGGTATATCTTCCTGAAGTTTAGGTATTAGATTGGTAGAGTCGTCACACTCCTTTGTCAAATCATTTATTTTGGCTGAATCCTGCATCAAAAGAGACAAGTAAGAAATTTGCTTACACAACCAATATTACCAACCTTCTACTGTTTTCCAACCTTATCAAGTTTATCCTCGAGTTTCTTGATCTTTTGCTTCATGTGCTTCAAGTCTTCCCTATACTTTACATCCTGCCTTTCAAATTCTTTAAACTTCTCCTTACAATCTCTAAGCTCATTATCAAGATCCTGACCATTGCAAAAAAAGTTGTAGGTGTGTAAAATGAACACCGAGTGATATAGAATGTAAGCAGAACCACAGACACTTAAGACAAACCTCTTGTCTCTTCTTGTGTTTTTCATGCACAGACTCAAGCTCCTTCAATTCCTTATTGTTTTCCTGAATTTTATCTCTGAAATAGCAGTATTGAGATTGTTAGAAAAGACTTGCAATTTTAGTAGATATTTCAAATCGCTAAAACCAGGAATTACCGCCCATCTTTTAGATTATTCTCCAAACTCTCCAAGCTCTGTTGCTGTTCCGAAATTTTAGCTACTGTATCTTCATATGCCATTTTTGTAGCATTCTCTTGCCATTTAAGATGCGTCAGCTCTTTCAGCATGTACGTCTCTGCCTCATTCTTCACATCCTGTTCCAGAAACATGTCAACAACTGGCCAAAAAATATGTGTCGGACAGAATCAGGAAAGACACCCACGGACCTCTAAGTTGTCTCTTTCTTTCTCCGCTAGTTTCACCATTTGTACAACCCCAGACCGCTTTTCATTGAGAGTTTCAAGCCTAAATTTCAACGAGGATATTAGAAGCATGTAATACGACAAAGAAGCAAGCAAACATAAAAAAACAAGCACATAAACTTTCTATGTCCCAGCAGCTACTGGAAATTTTAATCGGATCCATCGCCCCAGCCACAAAAACACTGATCAATACAAATGCGCACGATTCAAACAGAATGAAAGAATGGAATGTGCATCTGCTAACGTGGTAGTGCACATTGAAAGGAAACATTGGGAACCGATTTGCAAATAAAAGTTGTTTCAGTATACACAAATCACTTACTGCTTAGATAGCTCATCTATCTTCTCTACATATTTGTCCGTTCCAATAATATCCTCGAGATATTCAAGAAAACCTTCATCATGGGGCCCTTGCGCTTTAGGCTTCATGAGTGATATCTGTTCCACCTCACCCTGATAACAAACCAAAAGCAATCTAACAGGGGAGAAACAGAAAAAGAAAATAAAACTCTTGACGGTTTACCCAAACATGCATACCTGAAGAATCAAGAAACGGTTGTTGTCAAGATCAATCCCTTTCCCTTTAAGTTTTTTGGTAACTTCAGTAAAATTGCTTGATCGCTCATTGATATAATACTTGGAAGAGTTGTCTCGAAATGCAACCCGAGTAATCACAAAATCGCTTCCTGGAACAATTTCATACGAGCCATCCTCCTGTGACAGATCAGAATTATAACTCAAGTCACTAAAAGCACAAGAATGTTGAAGGGTTGATAAAACTATCTGAGAAAAACAAACTAGTAACTTCGTAACGACGCTATTACTTCAAGAATGAAAGAAATGTACAGACATGGAAAGCCTACTTTAGCACAATGAGGAACAAAAAATGATTACGGAAATTAAGATTCTCATATTTTGCAGGCTTCAGAGAGTTGTTTCTAGAACCGCAAAACTTATAATCAGAGTCTCAGGAGGAATCAAAAGCCGATAGCAGCAAAATTACCAGATCAATGATCTCCTGAAAATGTACAGAGACCCCAGCATTGTCCAAGTTCTGGTGATTGGTTGAGTTGTGAATAAGTTCTGAAACTTTGTTCAACCGCATCTGACAGCAAAACAACACAACATTACTGAAACGGAGCTAGTTTAAAGAACTGAATTAAGACATTAATAACGAAAATCAAGCAACCATAGAAGCTGATAAGTACACACCTGCTTAGCCCGTTTCCCAAACACAAACAACATTGCGTCTATCACATTGCTCTTCCCACTCCCGTTAGGTCCGACCACGGCAGAGAAACTCTGAATCAAGAAAATCAAAAGGTGGTGCAATCTAAGTTGAGCCAAGATTCCCCGCTCATTTCAATAGCAAAATCCGGGCATATACATTCAAATCCAATTCCTCTAATTTTCCAACACACGTAAAATTCAAATCCAACTCAAATTTTCCAACAACGGTAACAAATTCCAAAAACAAGGAGCGTCCATATTCAGGCATAATCAAGAAAACGCAAATTAACTCGAATTTCAATTCCTCCCGCAAAAAACAGAAACCCAAAACTCCAAAAGTTTCAGAAGCAACGAAATGGATAGAGGAAAAGGGGTGAAACACCTAACCTTGTGGAACGGGCCGACGCGTTGTTCACCGGCATAGGATTTGAAGTTCCTCATCACCAGCTCCTTGATGTACAACCTCGGCATAGCAGATCTCCCTCCGGCGGCCTCGAACTCGCCGGTAAATTCGTCCACGGGGTCCATCGCTATCCCTATCTTTCCGGTCAACTCGATGTTGACGGCTATTTTCCGGCGATTCCGCTGGATTTATCGGTCGCTCTTCTCTCTCCGGCGAGAATCTGATTGCTCGAATGGATTCGCGAGAAGCAAATGCACGAAATTACCCTGCCAAATTCCGAATATTATACTTTTTTGTCTAACGTTTATTTTTCAAAAGTTAGGGTTTTCAACTTTAAAAAGGCGTACATACATTTTGGCGGGAAATCAAATTATTCGAAATAGACAAGGGAAATAGAAAAGAAATGATACTTATTGGGCCGATGTGGCCCAGTATTTAAAAATGGCCAATTTGATATCAAGGGAAAATGCAAATTATAGATAGGCCCAATAAAAAGAAAATGGGCCCACTAGAAGAAGGGTATTGAGCCGATGTGACCCATATGAAAAAAGAAAAGAGTAGGCCTTTTATTCTCACTCCCGTTTTGGTTTAATTATTTTTTTGGTTTAAATATTTTTTATATTTGTTTCGTTTTTTTATTGTATTCTGATCTGTTCTGATTTTATTAATTATTTTTAAAAACAGATTCTCGTTCGATTTAATATTATCTTTAGAAAAAAGAAAAAGAAAATAGTTGGAGAGAGAAACGAGAAAGTTGACATTATAGGTGAAACATTTACCACAGAAATAAGACGAAATTATTACTGCAAATAGTTAAAGACGTAGACAAGACAATTGTAATAAGAAACAATCGGTATATATTTAAAAGATATAAAGTATACAAAAACATCAATTTTATCCTCTTTCAGAACTATTTTTCAATTTTCAATAACACCTAAATAATATTACTAAATCTTATATAATTTTGAACATGTTTAAAATTAGAAAAAAAAAATGGGGAAAATTAATGTTTATTCGGATTTTAAAATTTTAGACCGTAATTTACCAAGGGCAATGCAAGAAGCTTTGTGAACGTCTTAGATAGTGTGATGTACAAATATAACATTGGATAGCTAAAAGGATATTGTTAAATCCATTAATCATAAGAATTTTAAGTTGGGCTACAACATGAAAGAGAAAACGACGACAAACAAAAGAAAACACACATCCCATGATGATGATGATGATGATGATGATGCATTCGTATGATATGGGATCCTACTGAGATTCTCACCAATAAAATGCAACTGATTTATTAAATAAATACATATAAATAAAGTTTGAACCCATTGAGAATTTATTTTATCACCGGCAGATTTAAATAGCCATTATGTTATGTAAATGGAATTTTGCATAATATAGGATCACAGTCGGTGCATTTTTTTAAAAAAAGGGGTACATGAATCATAAAATAAACTAGCATAAATTATTTTATATTTTATTTAAAAAACAGTATATAGGGGGGTATGTTGGGACATCATGATTTTGTTGCAATAGTTTATGGAAGAGTGAGTTTGATTACACCTAACATTGGGACATTGTGCCCTACGAACCCTCCATTATTGCATGTGGTTAGTAAAACCCCATACAAAATTATCAGATAGATAGATCCATCTGTCCTACTCATCTTCTCAATTCTCCCCTTTCCACCCCCTCTACTTTTTCTTTTTTACACATTTTCCCCATATTCTTTAATTACTCATTCTACTTCCCCTAATCTCCCCTTTGCACGGATAAGAATGTCATCGGGTGGACATTTCGGATTCGTGTTTTATTTTGCTTTTATTTTTTAATTCAATGAAATTTTAAACCATGTTAATATACCTCTTATTTTCATATAAATCAATCGTGAAAAAAAATTACACTCTATATTCTCTGATAAAAAGGTTTTGAATCGATTTGTATAATTACGAATCTAACAAACATCTAGCTTGGAGTCTATAGAACAAAATTAAATCTACAAATCTTGAAAAAGAATCAAGTGCATTGCAATCTGAATATCATATGGGTCATCCAAATTATTGATAACTGGCAAGTACAATGACTTCATGTGTAAATATATATATATATGTATATATATATATATATATATCCATGTGTGGTGGGTTCAGACAGACCAATGAGTATAAGTTAGGGAACAATTTTCAAAAAAGAAATATATATATATATATGAATTCATGTGGGTTTTTAAAAAGAGAAAATAAAATAAAATAAACTGCACCAAAGTGCTCAGAGTCAGTAGGTAGACTTTGTCAGAAGCTTTATATTGGTTTTTTTTTAAATGTTCTTTTATATCTCACACCATTATTCTCTTTTTCCTCCTTTCCCCATTACGCATTTAATTTTATATGAAATCGAAGCTTCAATTGCAATTTGAAACCATAGTTTGATTATAGTGTGACCCCCGAGAATATCACAGCCTACGCGGAAGAATTTAATCAAACATTTGTAATATATTACTATCGCAATGTTCTACAATTTTGGGTCAAGGTACGATTTAAAAATCATTACGTGATTATATTAATTTTACACTCATCCCAAGCAATAATGTCAATAGAAAATGGTATAATATAAGTATCTGTAGAGTACGTATTTTAAATTTTAAATTATTATTTTGTCTATTCATATGGATACACAGACAGAAACACATGTATGTGTGTGGTGATGATCATTTTATTGGACCCACTGAAGATTTTCTAGTCAACCTCTCGAGAAACTCTTTGATATTTGATCTTAAAGGGCCCATGATCCCATGAAAATTTTGTTGCGTCTCCGTTATGGCTCGTTTTTTTTTGTTGGTTAAAAGAAAAATAATTGGCTCGTGTTTAAATTTTATTAACATTTGCAGTATCGTTAATTGGAAAAAAAAACTGATGAAACCCTAAAACAAAGCATCGAAACTGTAAAAGCATATTTTCTTCTTCGAAAATTGCGTATATTTTTATTATTATTATTATTTCCAATGATACAATGTCGCCGTTGCGAATACATATCCACCAGAACCAATTCTGAACATCAAAATAAATCATAGGCCATGACGTAACGTAACGCTCTTATTTATATATTTGTATAATAATCGGATATGTTATGATGGGACTTGAAAAAAAAACCCAAATTTCGGACGTCGATAGATGTTTGAGAAAACGAGATCCAAATTTGGATAATTTGATAATAAAAAAAATCTTATATTTGGCTTCGGATACGAGTCTGACATCTGCATCTCACTAGCATTCGTGGGTGATGTGTTTAATACAAAATATAATTTTCTCCTTAGAGATTAAAACTATTTAAAGAAATGTCTGCCATGTCATATATACTTTTTCTATAACTCATTTCTCACGATTTGCCTTGTTAAAATGATTTGTCTTGTTTGAGGAAAAAAAAAACGATTGAATCCGAAAACTATGACATGGATTCGATCTTCACCATGCAGCGTGACATGGCAATCTTATACACATGTAATTATAAATGTGCGTGCATATATATATATATATATATATATATATATATATAGAGTTATGTGAACATATTTAGTCATAGAATACATGAAAAATCGAATGTTCTTTTTCGATTTCTTTTTTGGAGCGACTCGTTAGAAAAGTAAACATATTTCACGAAAGTGGCATCCACAACAAAACTCTATGGTCCTCTTAGGATCTCCATTAGTTGGCTTTGCAATCGAATTCCTTTGCCTTCCTCGTGATAGAAGCATAGTTTTATAATTGCTGCCCTTTGAAAAAGTTGTCTTGCTTCTTTTCCTTTTGTGGCATTTATTCGAACCCTACAAGAATAAAATCATATCATTAAATAATTTATTAGCTAGCTATATGCATGATTAGTTGAAATACGTACGGTAGATTCTATGAATACATATACATGAACCCATATTGGATATGGAATTAGAAAACAGATAATTTATGGAATATATAGCTAGATAATGTAATCTACATTAAAATATGGCTCAATATGTTATGAACATGTCCAATGGCACGTGGATAATTAGGGTTTTTTTTTCGTACTTAAGTCATTAGTTAGTTCCTGTTTTTTAGGACCACATGCGAGAAGTAAAGGGGCAAAAGAAACTTTATCATGGACCAACCATATAATTCATGATTCTATGCCCAAGAAAAAAAGGGAACCCTAAGTTTATGATCCATCTTTATCAATGTATTCAAATAAATTTATTTTTCCGTATACATATACATGGACGGTGATAATACATGCATGGGTCAACTTGTGAGCTGTAATAATATTAATTCGTGCTTATCCACCCAATTAAATTATATTATTCCCCGGCGCAAAGAGAAAATGTTAACCATAACACATTAACACACACAAAAAAACACCTGGATTCTGTAAATTTTTATGTAATAAGTCGTTAGCGTCAAAGTTTTGACTTAATTATATAACCTTTGTTAGATTAATCATAGAAATCCATTCAAATGTTAATCATGTCATATTTTTAAATTTCAAGGAGAAAAAAAATAAATTGCGACGATTTTAAAATTAAAAAAAAAAATCAAAATAATTACTAATTTGCCTTAAAAAATATATAAAACAAACAAAGGAAACTGGTAATATATAACTCAATATAATAAATAAAAAAAAGCGGTAAATCAATTACCTTTAATATACATATATTGTAAAGTGTTCACAGAATATATTTTAAATAAAAAAAATTATATATACAATAAAAAAAAAAAAAGAAAAGGAATATTGGGTATGGGGCACATTACTAGATTTGGAGAACCCGCATGGCGACATCGTTGCACGATCTATTGTAGATAGGTCCAAACAGAATTATTCCTACTATATTTTTCTCCACTTTATTCAAATTTCTTTAATTTTTTTTAGGCATAAGATAAATTTAAAAATCCATAATGTTATTATCGTCGGATGCATTTTATATCAGACCATCCTTTATCAGAAATTTCCATCTAATATAGCGTGTGGAATAATATTACACATTATTTAAAATTTTATGTACATATTTGTGGTTATTCCATGCATGCATACGAGTGTGAGTTTATGAAAAAAGAAATGTTACCCACTTAAAATGGTTGTCTAAAATTTATTTTTTTTAATAAAAAAAATGGTTGTCTAAACGGTGCGTTTTAGGTTTGTAATACCTTTTGACTTTTCAAACGAAAGGGCGATCACTGCATGCTACGTGGAAAGCTCAGAAATGACGTGCGACGTTCAGTTGACACGTGGCAAATCCTAATACGTGTCAGCACTTAACTACGATGCT